ATTCACATATAATTTCCAAGATTTGCGATGCTAACAAACGTGAATGCCCATTACCAACCTGCCATCGTTAAGTGATCGAGAGAAATCATTCATTTCATAGTTTAAAACAATAAAGTTATATTCATAACATGTTTGATTAACTTTATAAACAAGCTTAAAGCTGATGTACGAATCTTATAAATGACGTATATAACCTGAATTAGACCATGATAATTCGACAAATGTGTGAGCTAAAACCGTTCAAAATGCACGAAAGTCAACAAAATACTAAATTTTCAACATTAAGCTGAGGAATATCGATTTTGCAATGCATTCGATAAAACGATCAATATGAGAGAAAACTGAAGAAATAGCTTTCCTACCGCCGCCGTAACCAAAATTATGTTAAACCAACGTGGGAAAAGTCGACAGAAAACTTCAGTAAAAATAAAACCAAAAACTACAGAGAAATATAATTACTATCATCTCAATCGGAATAAAAAAATAGCCGAAAATTACATCTGAAGGAATCAAGAATAAATAACATCGGTGTGTACGTTAATGGATTTTCATACACAAAACTTTCAAAATGGTCTTACACTGGCCCGCGAAATCACTATATGCAGTACAAGGTCACTTTAATATCTTCATACGTGTTTCATCCTAATATTTGATCGTAACTGAATGTGCACGTAGTACTTGTGGCAGTACTCCAACCAGTCCTGCCTTTACTGATGTACTAAGAAATTACTCAAGACCTTCAAAAAGACACTCCATAAGCATATCTCTCCTAGCCACTCCATTCTTCATACCAAGACTATTTCACGTGAATGATTACCTACACAGCCATATTTTTGAACATGGATATTATCCACTTAATGCCTGTTTCCACTCAGTGAGTTACACTAAATGTAATACAACGAACTTTGATGTCAGTTAACATGAATTTCTGAACAAATGTTCCTCGGTATCCGCTAGCTTCGTTCTCTAATTGCTTCTATATCGTTCCTCATGAACAAAATGAACACACAACCGAGACATTTCGCGACCACCCGTTTAGATATTTACAGCATTGTTGACTACCGACAGTACTTCGATCACAGTACGGCATGTTTCACTGATTACACGCGCGGAACACTCGGACCAGATAATGCTAAACCATTCGGTCATGTACTACTCAACATCGTCGGCTCCTTTTCCGTCAAACTTCACTTGACTAATCGATAAGTAGCCCCGCACTTGATTTGGTTTCTAGGCACATCTTCAACCTCACTCTTCATGTTGTAATGTAGCTTGCTTGGGTTGACAGCATTTATGGATTGTCCGAGTCTCTATAAACATGGCAAATAAAGCAACCAACACATTTCAATCATAATGTATCACAAAAGATTGTCTAGCAAATCCAGAAGCCAGAAAAACAGATGACAATAAATGATTGATCAACAAAAACGAGTAACGGGATCAAGTTCCTGATCACACGCTCTAACCTTGGAGGTCATTGAAGTCGGATTGACAATGATGTTGCCCTGATAATTAGTGGCAGACATAAATCTTAGCTTTAATTGAACTTATATGATGATTCTCTATATGCATAATTGCAGTATATTGGTAAGCGATTAGTTATTATATTTATACTTGGCAGAACTACCTGCTAATCTAAATGACATTGCTGTGCTCTATTGCTACCCAATCAATAATTAATTAAGTGGGAAGGTCACTCACTTCTCAATAAGATTTCATCTTTCCAATGTCATCTTAAACGTAGCCATACTTACCATCTACACTTTTATCACTGAAGCCCCAACGTCAATGATATGAAATTATAACCTGTCAGCTGTTTGCACAAACTATCATAGGTCTCATCATCCAGTCACATACTCATGTCCACTTAATATCAAAAACTAAATTGTTATGCCCTGTACTCGAATCAATCTTCAGTTTCTACCGTATCACTTCTTGAACATATCGCCGCCTCTAGAAATACCCAAGGGGTACCAGTGTTATCAGCGTTAAACCTGGTGAAACGATTGACATTGCCACCAGGAATTATATAAAAATTAAATTTACCACAAATCTGTTGAAAATTGGTATGGATAGCATCTTTTCCTGAAGTAATCATAAACAAAGTATAGAGATCACTGTTATCACATAGGTGATAGTCATGTTTCCCATTCGAGCCATTGCCTTAGATTTGAAATCAATCAGATTATCCTTGTCATTATTATTTCGACTGAAACCACGTTCATCAGCTAACAGCATATTTAGCTAATCATAACTTTGTTGGATAATTGTGCTTAGATAGGTGTTTATCTCGGAAGCATAAATAACTGAAAATTCAACTACACTAGCAGCGAACACATTAGTAGCACAACAATTATCCCCTAAGCCGATCAGCTGATCTTCCCAAACACCATCTAAGCAGAAACCATACGGTCACATTGAAAAATTTATGTTCTGGTAACGCATGATACCACAAAAGTTCGATCATAATTTACTTGCCTCTCAATTGATTTTTACTCCACTTTTCATGATAGGTTCAAGCAATAAATACATTTATATTCAGATCAACTGATATACCTCTCGTCCTTCATTCTAACACTGATTAGTATATAACATAACGACATATGACAGCATAGCATTGTCGACACACATCAAGACAATTTGATAAAGTTTCACTGGTGATCGTCACTAATGCCAGGAATCTGATGCAAATAAACTGTAGTATCTCTAGAAATACAATGCCTAGTCGCCAGGTTGATTTCGGGAGAAAAAATATCTTTGATAGTTAAGGGTCAACATAGTTCAATAATTAACCGTGAAATTTTTGTGGTTGATAAAATTGTTCTGATGGATATTCCGATTTGACACTCGGTAATCTTCATGAAATATCTTGTCCAACGGAAAACTGCTCTATTAGTACCATTAGATTTTGAGAGACTGTGGTTTGGATGACCACTTGGAGCCTTAGAATATATAAGTACTGTCGATCTTCATTCGTAGACCATAGATTGACATGTGGAAGATGTCGTTCTACAATCTTTTTCGGCTATTATTTTACTCTAAAATAGTGGCTTGGATCAAGTCATTAATCGTAAAAGTACAATTTTTTTACTCATACGGATATGACAAAAAACATATTACTACGCTAATCCAACAGTTGTATCGAAGGTATGTCAATTATTGTCATGCCGTTAGTCGTAATCTTGTTTGTACTGACAAAAGCACGATAAATATGAACTGGAATGTGGCGCAAAATTGCTTATAAGACTGACTGGCAAATATCCAAATTCCAAAAAACATTAGAAGTTTCAGTAATCGATCCTTTTGGTGCACGCCAAAGAAAACGTAATCAAGACATGATAATATGCAAAACAAATAATAATAAATTAAAAGTGATTGGAGGCTTCCAAAAAGAAAACTTAATTTACTTACTTACGCCTGTTATTCCTCGTGAAGGAGCATAGGCCGCCCACCAGCATTCTCCACCCAACCCTGTCCTGGGTTATCCACTCCAGCTATTTTCAACTGTTATTCATCCTTTTCATATCTGACTCTATTTTCCGACGTAATGTGTTCTTTGCCTTTTCACTTTTCCGCTTCCCTTCAGTATTCCAAGTTACGGCTTGTCTCGTGATGCAGTTTGATTATTTGCGTAATGTATACCTTATCCACTTCCATCGTCTTTTCCTGATTTCTTCTTCAGCTGGAAGCTGTTTTGAACTCTCACATAGAAGGCTGTTGCTGATAGTATCCGGCCAATGAATGTTGAGTATCTTGCGTAGACAGCTATTTATAAGTACTTTGAATATATACATATGCATATAGAAAACAACAAACTTAATGCTCACCTATTCTTCATTTTTCAATGCTAGGAACAAAGTTATGTTTACTAAAGGAGAAAAATAATGGCAACTGTTATGTGATGAAAATTACTTTAAAGTAAGGATTTGAGTAACCATCACAAATGGAGATCACTCAGTCATCAAATATTCTACTGTGCGTCAGACCTGACTCCATGAAGAGAATATGCAAATCAAATAGTGTAAATATATCATGGGTTTAGTGCTTGAGGAGTCAATTGTTCACAACGCCTTTCTAATCGAGGACTCCGAAACCAGAATTTATGTGACACCAATAGTTTATTGACTGCCTAAGAATTCCACCTTATAATTCCTATTCCGATTCTAAAATTTTCCAGCATTCAACAAACTGGCTTACTACTTTTAACGTAATATTTTCCGACTCCAGCAATCTTGTTCCACAGTAAAAATGCACTAAATTTTACCCAAGACATTTATCCCCAAAAACAGTTGTGGCCAGACAGTTTACAATTCTTGACACTAAATGAATAGAACCATGCCTTAGCATCAAGAGTTAAGATTGAAATAGCCAATGAGTCCACTCTTGCTTATTTCAGGTGCATTGGATACGGAATTGTTTAACCGAACCACATAAGCAATTAAAATTGCTCGGTGGTAATACAAACAGCATGGAAAGTGTGCTAAGTGAACTTCGGGAATTAGGCGAGCAATTCGCAACGCATGTCCGGCGTGTGAAGCTTCTAAAAAATGAGGAAGATGTTAGTTCACTTAAAAAGGCGATATCCAGCCTAGAGGATGATCTTAAACTACTCCGAATGTCCTATGAATGTCAGATAAATCACCTGAGTACTAACCTAAATATTGTACTGGAAGAAAAAAGAGATTTAGAAAATGAAATTCTAGTAAGGAAAGAAAATGACGCTCATTTTCTGGATAGGTTCAGTTTTTTACGATTGGTATGTATTTTGCAGGATCTCAGTGGAATCGTCAAAAAATGCTAAGCTTCTTCTGGAGATAAGTCATCTTAAAACTGACGTTGCAGAAAAAACTAATCAGATTACAGCGCTGAAAATGCATGTACAAGAGTTGGAGACTAATGGAGAACAGAAAGAGACTATGAAGTTGAAACTTACTGAGGAGATAAATTTTCTAAAACAAAAGTACAATTCTATAATATTTATGTAAAATTAAAGGCTTTCAATGTCTGAGAATTTGTACACTGAGACTGCTAATCAGCTTCAAAGTGCACTGCTGGCACTAAATTCTCAAAAATTGTTTGCGAAGGAGGTGAGTTATCTTCCATTTGTTGTATTCTCCAATTTTCAAGTTTTGTATTCTTTTCTAAAGCCATATATTCTTGTTTTGTAGCGTCTTAGTCGCAGTCAAAACAGAATACAATGGTATATTTCCCAATTCGCCGCGAAAGATTTTCAAGTTGAAGAATCTCGCAGAAAGGAAGCTTCCATTTCTACTGCCATCTCTCAACTGCGTGCCAAAGCTCAGGAGGAACTTATTCAATACCGTCAGCAAGCTGCAGACATTTACAAAAAACCAGTAGGCTCTAGTTGATATTTTCTTACTCTAGATTAACTCATACTTTTACATAACTTTTAAAATAACTTGCCTATTGTCTTTCTAGATAGCTACTTTGCAAAGTCAGTTGGTCTTGGAGAGAAGAGAAAATCGATTGTTGAAGAATAAATGTTTAAAAAATGATCAAACAATTCTCAACTTGCAACGGCAAATCGCTGAATTGAATTCTAAAGTTTGTTCATAATACCTCTAATTTCTTAGGTTTACAGCACTGAACATCAAACTGAACTTTTGAAGAATGCTTTGGATAGTTTGGGGAAGGAGCATAATCGCTTAAGAAGTAACTATGAGGACAAGATCCAGAGACTAGAGGATTCTATAACTTCTAGTGCTGCTGATTTTGATTTAATGCGAAGTAAAGAGAATGAAGTTATGAAGGAAATATCAAAATTTAAAAGCATGTTGAATTTAGACGAAGAGAGTCCCCACTCACGAAGATGTAACGAACAAATTAATCCAGTTAATGAGGAATTGGTTGACGAAGAGGATTCACAGTGTTCAGAAAATGACAAAAAGTGAGATATTTGTGCTAAACGTGGTGATCTTCCATATTCTGACACCTCTCAATACGGATGTTATTTTGCCCCAAAAAATAAAGGGGAAGTTTAGTGTCCTGTTTTGTTGATTCGAGATCTTAAACACTGGTAATATATTTGGACTTTCATGTTTTATGGAACTGTGGACCCAATAAGTAATTACTGAATCTAACTGACTCTTAACAGGTAGATCATAGTTATGAAACATGTTTTTTGATACTAATGTCCTAAAAGGCAGTTAGGGATAATCCTTATGCCTTGGGGTATACTCATTTGTTTTCTACAGATCAAAACTCACTCGGCTGTATCATAATCGAAGTAAAATACAAACATGATGGTACATGAAGCAGAAAAATGGGTGTTCTCATTGTTTGCACATATTACTCCTGCGTTTGACCTTCAATCACTTCATGCAGACAGCCGGGAATATATGTATCTCGAATTGTTCATCGTCTTAGGGTCTTTTCTTCAAACTCAAATTTAGCCAACTCATTTGGTTTTACTGATGAAGTGTGTCATTAGTATTCTCAGTCTTCAAAAACACTCTAATACAAGGGATTAACTTTGAAAAAATTACATCAGGATATTTGCTATTTAATATTAATCTCAGTTAATTCAAGTAGATTAAAAAGCTCTTGTTTTTCAGAATCGGATTCGACAGAACCTATGAATCAAAAGTTACCTCACACTCAGATTGTGCTGTTCCATCAAAAGGTATTGAGTCTTTTGTGATGACATCAAAAGATGACCTCCTCGACACTTCCCAGAATATTGATGTTGAGTTACAAAACTGTGGTCAAATAAACTTTGACATGAATAGGTGTGGTTTAAATTCTTCCAAAAATGAAATCATGGACACAAAAATCAATGGCTCAATACCTGGTAGTCCAAAGTCGTCAATGTGTTTATCAGGGTCCAAGTAAGTTTTTATTTCAGATAGTCATTCACAAACAATTAATATTTGAATGCAAAGATGGGTGATGATTAGTAGTGGGATTCAGGACGCGCGTTTCAATTGCAGTCCTAAACATCAATGAGACGATTCAAACAACCAATTTGGAAGTGAATTAAAGTTTACCCCGCTGCACAAACCAGTGGCTTTCTGGATTCATTAGCTAAGTGGACAACGCGGCGGTGTTTGGAGCGAACGATGTTGAACTTGAGTCCCGGAGTGAACACCAACTCTGGAATGTAGATACATTCAGCTGACGAGTCCCAAATAGGACAAAACGCACGGCCTAGATTCCACTGCTAGTGAATATCTGTATTTGCTTATAATGCTTGTGGTTTAAGGCAATGTCGAATCATATGTACAAGATGCACATATGCCAATAAGAGACTGATCAATTGCAGTTCTGAACATTAATGGAAAGTTTCAAACAAACAATAGATAGATGAATTACTGTTTGGATGGTTGATAGACGATTTAGTTCTAAAAATCCAACTATCATTATCTCATGATTTACAACTAAACGTTGTCGTTATTGATAATTAATATAATTTTTGAATCTAAACAATTTGTTTTACATTTTTATCTTTACAGAATTTGAAATGTAGTTTTCAGTGTAAAATGTGATTTTATTTACGCTATAAATTTCGAACAGTCTAGTGATACATATACGTTTCAAGTCATTTTGTAGAAAAAATCAATCAACGTTAAGTAAGTGTTCAAATGAAAAAGAAGTAACTAAAAGATAAAAGGAGAAAATCAACCTTCTAAAGATGATGATAATGTCAATATCTTACTAGTAAATTTTAAGTCAAGATTAAATCCGATATCACTTTGAATGTATTTTCTTTTTAAAAGTCAAAGATCATAGTGTTTTAGTAATACTTACAAGACAATTCATATATTGAAATATTTAGATCATTGAACAAATTGATGCTGACTATTAAGAACTTAATGAGAACCTCATAGGTCATTTTCCATGTATTTTTTATTACACTTCTGAATTACACTATTTAACTATCAGAGATGTAATAGAGAATAATTATAAGCTAAGTTTTTTTTTCGTTTTTCAGTAGTTGAGATCATGAGTTAATTGAAGCTAAAGCATCATGAAAAACCTAGAAGCATTAGACGGCCGTTTCGTCCTAGTATTGAACGCTTAACGTTTACATCACTGAGCCGGCCGGTATTCAGTGGTGTTAATGTCTAACTTGAACTAATTTACGAAATTGAGCGACACATTCACTATTGTTTTCATTGAGTTACTATCTCACAACACACCCAGTTGAACGTCATTGGTCACTGATTCTTCTTCTTGTTATCATAGTTATACCTATTGAGAACTGTGAAACACAATAAAATGATGAAAATAAATTTTTCAATGAAGATAACTAAATTTATTATGATAACTAAACTTGAAACATTATGTGAAACTTAGTAAAAGAAGCAAATTAAATTGTATCATTTACTAAAATAAAATAAAATAAACAACTAATTAATGTAACACATGAACTTTTACATTGAACTATATTTTTGACAGTTAAATTTATAAGTTGATCTAAACTAGACTATTGCAAACCTGGAAGCGCTAGATGGCTGTTTTATCTTCGTACGGATCTTCTCAGTAGTGCGCGTTCACGATCGCGCACATGCGAACGCTTCACCTCTAGACCATTGAATCGGCATTCAACGGTGTTAATGTCTAACTTCAACCGATTGACGATCTGCATTTTATGATTGTATTATGAGAATCGTTATTATCCTCCTTATTATGCTTAGAATATAACAGCTTAAGTTAGATGTTTTTTCCTGTGGTGATTGAATACTTCTGTATTCTTATTCCACTTTGTTTTCTTTTTTTTTTTTTTTTTACAATTTCTCAACAATAAAAAACGGTAAAGGTAATTAGCACTTTTTTTTGTGAAATTTTAATTTGTTCTGTTCTTTAACAACAAAAAAAGAACAATATTCATTTCTTCATATCGAATAGTAATCAATATTGATTATTAGTTCATTCATTCGTTAAATAAGGACAAATCTTTTATTATTAACGAAATATATTAAATCTTCCCTCTTATAATTGACATGGTAGCAATTGTGAATGAAGCTTTTTCAGTTCACTAATCACGTGAATAAAAGAATATTAATTCAGTTATTTTATATTTGTTAACCACTGTCATATTTTGGAGCATCATATTGATCTCCCTACCGAATTCAAAGATTTTTTAAAAAATTGAAATTAATAAAATAACTCACCTGGATGTCTTGGTACAGTTGAGGGTGAGAATTGTCAACTCTCCCTCTCCAAATGATCTCACATAACCATGCGTATATGGTCTTAGCCTTTTTACGGCAGATTTTTTGTTAACGAAATTGTGAGGGCGAAAAGTAAATGTTCGGTGCTTTATCCGGGTTGATGAATATGAATGATCCATCTAGAGGAGTTGGAAAACCCTGATTCCAAACCAATGGTGCATATATACCACAGTATCCTAATGGAAAATGGCGTGTGAAGCAATGGTTGGTCACCGGCTAATATGGGACTGCATCTCCTGACGTTGCTCCACTGCTTTTTGGATCAGACTTTTAGATTGAAGGCCTCGGGTGTTGCCCCCCAAGAAAACCACCTGCTTCGGTTTGGGCACTCGGGCAGTATCCCAGCACTGACATAAACCGAATGATTTATGTGGCGTATTTATGTTTGGTGCCTCCTTGTACTGATGTTTATATGTTTAAATAAATAAATAAGTAGTATTTTTTTGACAAATATTACCATTCTAATATGAAACTTAGTCAATCAGATTTATTTCAACCATCATTAAGATTATTGAAGTGAGATTTTAGTTAAATATTGTCTTCATTTAACTGGTAAGTTGCAAAGTATTATTTTCGGAAAGTAGGTTTTGTGGAGATTGTAGTATTTCCATTGTTGAATTCATGAGTCGATCTAAGCTAGACGGAGATCGTGAATGAGCACTGCTGTGGAGTTCCACACTAGGAAGAAACGGCCGTCCAGTGCTTTCAGGTTTTTCCGTGGTAGTTTAGCTTTAATCAACTCATGGATTAAACTATTAATATTCAGTCAGTCAGCTACAACGTAGGACCAGACACATATATGCATCGGTCCAAGTTGTCATACCTCATTAGCACAACAAGATGAGCACCAAATTCATAGAAGTGCTTACTTCAATTGTAGTAATGTAAAAAGGAAAAATTGTGTATAAGGATATAATACAGCAAAAAAGAAATAGAGAGAAAGGTATAAAGTAATTTTAATCTCATAGTTTAAGGGGAGACAAAGAGCCATTGTGATCGATTCTGAGCTATGTCACTCAGAGTCTCCAACCATTGGATACGATAGTCACGCGGACCCCAACCAAGTAGTCTGTATCTACCAACATTGCTAAGACTAGAAGTTAATAACTTCAAGGATTGATGCCATGTTTTGGTTTGGTCGCCTCTAACTTTCTTCCATCCGTCTTCAACAGTAGTCAGCATTGTGCGTCGTGGTAATCTGTGTTCAGGCATACACAGCACGTGGCCCAACCATCTTAATCGGTGAATATTTAAAACCTCATCAGGTGATTTACCATCATTTCCTAACACCCTGCGTCTAACCATACTATTACTTACCCGGTGTTCCTAACAGATATGAGCAATTTTTTCCAAGACATCTGTAATTAAATAGTAGTAGCCAACGAGTGCCCCCAAATGCCCTGGTATGGCCGAGAGCGTGGAGGGTTCGCCCTCCCTCTCGAAATACTCTCACACGGCCACGCGTATACAGCCTCTGCCAGGGAAGTCCTACTCACTGCCTTCTCGTGGCGGGGGTGTTGTTTACGAAAATGAGAGGACGAAATGCGAACGTCCGGCGCTATAACCGGATCCGAATTCTATGGTTCACATGGGCTCCAGTATCCTGGAGGAACAAATGGCGTATGAACCAACTTTTGGTCACCGGCTTCCATGGGACTGCATCTCCTTACGATGCTCCACTGCCTTGTGGACTAGACCTTTAGGTCAAAGACTCGGGGTGTGGCCCCCTAAGAAAACCACCTGCTTCGGTTTGGGCACCCGGGCAGTATCTCATCCCACACACTAAAACCATGATGAACTATCTGCTTATGGAAAATATTCGTTTCTCTCCGACTAACATTGAAATGACTGGTATTATTATTATTATTATTATTATTATTTACTACGTCATTTACTCACTATCTCCTATTTCTACTTTTTGTATCCGTTTCGACTCAGACAGCAGCTCGCCTATGGTAAAAATTCAGCTTTATCTAAACGTTCTCGAGTCACTGCCTGGTTGAAAATTGTATGTTACCATCGAATAAGAGTACTGAAGTAGTTTTTCTGAAACCACGTGCACCATTCAAACTGGCTGCCTTCAACGTTCGCACACTTATGCAGGTCGGACAACAGATAGGACTGGCTATGTCTTTGGAAAGTCTTAATATTGATGTGTGTTGTCTATCCGAGACCCGTATTCAAGACTCTGGTGAAGTACTACAAATTCGCTCTCCATCTGTCGCTTCAAAATGCTTGTGTTATGTGCGTTTATCCGGGGACCCTTTGGCATCTTCGTCTGGTCTTGCTGGCGTTGATGTCGCATTAAGCGCAAGAGCTGAGGCAGCACTAGTCGACAGGATCCCCACTTACAGTCGGTTATGTGCTGTTAGATTAGAAAGTTCCATCAAAGTGAGAAGAAATCGGCGTGAGAAACGATGTCTTTTCGTCATCTCCGCCTATGTCCCGACAGATTTCAGCCCGGATGCAATCAAGGATGAGTTCTACCACCAGCCAACTGTTCTCCAGAAAGTGCGTTCGACAGATATTTTAGTACTAGCTGGAGACTTGAATGCTCAGGTCGGGCGTCTAGGCACAGAAGAGAGTCGTTTAGGTGGCCGATGGGAACTTGTTGGTCGCAGGACAGATAACGGGAAACGTCTATTGCAGCTATGCACAGACCACAACCTGTTTCTGGCTAGCACTAACTTTCGGCACAGTCATCGCCGATGTGCCACCTGGCGTCCCCCTTCTGCATCTCAAGCCTGGACTCAGATTGATCACATTGCGATCAGCTACCGCTGGCGCGGTTGTGTACAAGACTGCCGTGCCTTTTGGAGTACCTATCTGGAATCTGATCATGCTCTGGTCTGCGCCAATCACACCTTACTTTTCAGTGGACAACGAAGGGATCGCCACCAAAGGATTGACGTTAGCAAGCTGGCTGCAACTTCTGTTGCTAGTATGTACCGAACCGAGCTAGCTTCTAGGCTAGCTACCATTCCACCGAAAAGTATAGATGAGCATTGGTTGCAATTGCATGACGCCATGAAAATGGCGGGTACAGTCTGTTGTGGTTTCGCTAAACGTCCCGCTTATAAGCGCTGGGTTTCTTCTGATTCCTTACAACTGATTGAAGCCCGTCGGTCTACTCCGGGTGACCGTGAGTTTGACCACAAACGAAGGATGTTACGTACTGAAATTGGGCAAAGCTTGCGTAAGGACCGAGAAGCCTGGTGGTCGGAGCGTGCTAACGAGCTGGAAGCAGCAGCTGCATCTCTTAATTACCGGAAGCTCTTCCAACTCTTCCGTGCCACTGGCAGCAAGAAGTCTGGTATGAGCGAAACAATCTGCGAGGATGACGGAACGCCAATCACTAACATCCATCGACGTCTTGGACGATGGGCAGAATTCTTTGAAGGGCAGTTCAACTGGTCTGCTGCTCCGGCCACACCGGTCAGACTGTCCTGCCCTCCATGGCCGATGAAGGCTGGTCCACCAAATAAGGCAGAAGTCTGCAACGAACTCCAACTCTTGAAACGTTACAAATCACCGGGCCCAGACGACTTACCTCCGGCTCTTTTTAAAGATGGTGGTGACTTTCTGACTAAGGGACTGACGACGTTGTTTACAAAGGTCTGGGAACTAGAGAGTGTACCAACGTCATGGAATGAGTCGATAGTTGTCCCTATCTTTAAAAAGGGTTCACGTTGTTCCTGTAACAACTATCGGGAGATAAGTCTACTTCCGATTGCGTCCAAGCTATTGGCTTCCGTTATACTTCGTAGGTTGTTCAGAACCCGAGAAGGATTGACTCGCGAGGAGCAGGCTGGGTTTCGTTCTGGTCGAGGATGTATTGATCATATCTTCACCCTCCACCAAGTGTTAGAACACCGCCATACTTATCAAAGCCCAACAGTCGTAGTGTTTCTTGATATCAGGGCTGCCTTCGATTCGTTGGACAGAACTGTTCTCTGGGATTGTCTATTGAAGAAGGGTGTGCCTGAGAAGTTTATTAACATCATAAAAGCCCTATACACAAACACCTCAGGCAGAGTGAGGGCATACAACCACCTTTCTTCACTATTCCATTCAAGCAGTGGAGTTAGGCAGGGTTGTCCAATCTCACCATTCCTCTTCAACTTTGCCATCGATGACATTCTGGAAACAGCTCTGATGGATGTAAGTAATGGTGGTGTGGATCTGTTGCCTGGAGAAAGACTTCTCGACCTTGAGTATGCGGATGATATTGTCTTACTGTGCGAGAATGCTCAAGCCATGCAATCCGCACTTAATCAGTTGGCAATCAATGTCCGTAGGTATGGTATGTGCTTTGCACCTTATAAGTGCAAAGTTCTTCTACAAGACTGGCAGGATTCTAATCCTGTACTCACTCTGTATGGTGAGCAGATAGAAGTGGTCGAGAAGTTCGTGTATCTAGGTAGCTGCATAAGTGCTGGTGGTGGCGTGAGTGATGAGATCAATGCACGTATAGTGAAAGCCAGAGCGGCTTATGCCAATCTGGGCCATCTTTGGCGCCTTCGTGATGTTAGTCTGGCTGTAAAAGGTCGGATCTACAACGCGTCGGTGAGAGCAGTTTTGCTCTATGCTTGTGAAACCTGGCCTCTCCGAGTTGAGGATGTTAGATGACTCTCTGTGTTCGATCATCGTTGTCTCCGAAGGATTGCTGGCATCCAGTGGCAACACCATGTTAATAATGCAGAGGTTCGGCATCGTGTGTTCGGTCACAGAGACGATAATGAAACTGGTGTCACCATCTTGAAACACCGACTTCGGTGGCTTGGACATGTTCTACGAATGTCGTCCCAGAGAATTCTTCGTCGTGCATTATTTGCCGACTCTGGGACTGGTTGGAAAAAGCGGAGAGGTGGTCAGTATACGACATGGTGTCGTGGTATGAAAGAAAGCTGCAAAGGGCTGGCTTGTGTTGGTCCTTCACGACTCCCTGGTTGGGGTCCGAGAGACGGTGTAACACAGTGGCTAGAGACGTTATCAGATATGGCTCAGAATAGAAGCCAGTGGCGATCCTGCTGTAACCTTCTTTTACTTTCTTCATAAAAAGTGGTTGCTTCTTCCTTAACTGAAAGATCTCTTCTGATTAAACCTTTCCGTTTTCCCCATCATTGTTCTCTCTTTCTTTTTTTTATAATTCCCCACGTTCATTACTTTTTTTTTCTTCTCTTCAAATTATCATTGTTTTGTGTGGCGCATATATATTTGGCACCCCCTTGTACCAATATTTATGTGTTCAAATAAATAAAATAAATGAATAAGCCAACGAGTATCTTCTACTCTTAGTGGCCTCGTTTAGCAGCCGTAAAATGGAACAGAACAAACTGCCGTGCAGTATACTCGTCCCTTAAGTGATAGACGGATATCTCGCCTTCGCCGTAGGTGACGTAAATTGAAAAATGATAAACGAGTTTTCTGAATCCATGAAGAGATATTGTTTTAAAGCTTATTCAAGTTTTCTTAAAGTCAAAATATCTTTTATTGTATGAAGTTAAAGATAGTTCCTACTACGAAAGAAAATTATTTCCCAAGATCTTAGAAATACATAACAAACGATTGATAAGTTCTTCATATTATTTAAATATGAAAAAGGAAAAAAAACTTTATCAGAAGGGGTTTTGTGGAGATTTTGACGATTTTATAGTTGAATTCATGAGTCAATTGAAGCTAGACCACTATGGAAGAGTTCACAATACGCCTTCTGATAATAATCAACGTATGCTCACTAGTGTCTTGCTTCAAGAGGTATTTCCTGGAGTTCTAGTGTGAAGCAGTGACCAGTGGAGTTCAACTGGGTCTATTGTGAGATAGTAACTCACTGAAGACAATGATGAATGTGTCGCTCAATTTCGTGGATTAGTTAAAACTAAATATTAACACCATTGGATGCCGGCCGGCTCAGTGGTGTAGAAGTTAAGCGTTCACGCACGAGACTGATAGGTTCTGTGTTATAATCTAGCGAGACGGGATAATTGATTCACACTCTGAGGAGTCCAGTACTGGAACGAAACGGCCGTCTAGTGCTTCCAGGTTTTCCATGATGGTTTAGCTTCAGTTGACTCATGTACTCAACTATTAAAAATCTTTAATTAATAAAATCCTTTCTTTTTTGTTTTCTACATGAAGTGCTATTGGATACTTACAAATTTGTGAAATTGATCCCAATGGTGAGTATTTACTTCTATGGAATTCAAGTACAAACAAGGTAAATGCATTAAACAAATATGACATAATGAGAAAGAACTTAATTAATTGGAATATGAGTTATATACAAGATTAATTTCTTTTTAGGTATTCATGGTAGTTTATTAGATTTCCTTTTTTGGGGGGGGTTATTTCATAATTTAGTAAGATAATTATAACTTTTTTTATAGTCATTTAACGTACTGATATTGTAATTTTGGTTTGTATGGTAATTTACTCATTAATTAGTGTAAGTCAGTCAATCTAAACTAGACCATTGAAAACCTGTAAGCACTTGACAGTCGTTCCTTCGTAGTAGGGAACTCTTCAACAATTTGCATTCACGATTCCACACGCGGAACTCAAACTTAAATTGATTTGTGAATCCAACTATTAAAATTGCTTTAATCTTCACAAATCCCCATTCTGATAATTATTAACTGATTGTTAATCTGTGTAAATAAATCACTCAAAATTTAGTGTATTCAGACATTATTTTGGTTTATTTTTGATGCATCATAATTCCTTACCCATCGTTTCAATGTTTTAAATAGTATCTTGCAATTCACAGTTCCTAGTAACAAGTACCAGCTCTCAGCCGTTATCACACAGAACAATATGATATCTTGGCCAATTTAATGGGTCACAACTAAGAACTAGAGTATTATTGGTTTGGAAATTCAAAAGATACACCGATGTTGATGTATTCATTCTTCTCAATAATATCTGTTCAAAACATAAAGCTAGGTTCATAATAAAGAAATATTAAAAACCAGAAGGTACTGGAGACCTTTTGACCGTAGTTTCGGAGGGCTTTTACATAAACCATCACTTATAAACAACGTCTACATTGAACAGTATTGTCGAGGTTATTGGCATCACTTCGAGTACCATTAATTAACAGAGGACCAGGCAGGCATTTCATCTCAATTTGGGTTAGCTGTAAGTAGCCATGATCCCGTCGAGGATCGAGCCTAGGATATTCAGGTCTTTCAGCTAGCGCATTACATTAGTATATATTTTTCACACCAAAAAACTTACGATAAAGAGTAGAGATAACTCAATTCTATCATTGATGATTATCTCACTGGTATATAACTTCAGGATTAGTTCCTAAATTTATTTTGGCAAATTATAGCTAGTAGAGACTTATTACTAATGATATGAGGTTGTTTAATTATCATTCTTTCTCATGAATTATTTAAAGTTGGAAACGTGCACAGTAGAATTAAAAGTTAATGGTTCAAAGACAGCATTTACTACGGGATATGAAATTCCTGGTCTCAACCCCTAATGATTGCTGTAATTTTTTTGCTATTGAAGAGTCACTTAGTTGATTTACTACATTTGTTAATCTTACTGATCGTTTACAAATAGTACATATTAGCTAATCGTTCACACATTCGTATAATACTCAAGAATATTATTACCTATTAAAAACAATTTTAATGGTTCGGTTACTTCATATTGGTATACACATTAAGTGGTTGAACGAAATTACAAATAGAGATCAAGCAAATAAGAATTATGTAATCACACCATAGTGGTCAATTAGTAATATGCAGTCTACATTTATTAAAAAAACGATAAGTTCAGTGGTCAATAGACCGCTTTCATGTCCTTGTTTAGCTATTTCTGCTTTGTTCCAACCTAATCCTACATTGGACAACATCGCCAGTTAAAGTAAGAGATGATTGGCAATACATAGTACATATCACAACCAACTTAGATGATAGAGATTCACTAGCTTATCGATGGACTTACACTATTTACATTGTGTCTATTTCTAACTTTAATATTACTCACTCCGTGGTCTAAAACTACTCGAACCGTGCTTCGAATACATCTATCATCAAATACTGATAACTTGCGAATATCATCGATTCTTAATGATCATGTTTCACACAGAACAAACTACTGCACAATAAACTCGTTCCTTGATTAGTAGACAGATATCTCACCCACGTTACAAATAATCCAAATCAGCAAAGATCAATCAAGCTTCCGAAATCTGTGTTGAGGCTTTGTAAGACCCCAGCCTATCAAGACTAATGAGACTCAAGATAAGTGAAGCGGTTGACACAATCAAATTTCACTCCTTATTATTAACTCAAGTGCTATGAAGGTAATTTCTGAAGCAACATTTTGTATTCGAAGGAAAAGTATTACACTAAAAATGCCTGTGTTGTTTGGAAGACTACTCATATTGTCAGAGTGTTCACCAAAATTGAGCTATTCTAAGACAATACATGAGTCTTATGCTAGGGAATTAATCCCTAAAAAGTAATACAATAAGTGGGTCATCTGTAAAACATTGTCTATGACGAAGTGTAATCTTTAATATATAAGTGCTTATATCAGGTAGTACATTGATATGATGACTAGCTAATTGATTATTTTAAATATTTGCTTAGCAACCACAATCAAACAATGGATATTCATTAATTAGTAACATATTACTGATTTTGGTATTTCCTTTTTACTATAGTCAATCTGATTACACTTGATCATTTGTCTAATGGTTTGTTGGTAAAAGTTCACAAGTCCATGTATTCTACAGGTTTATCATAACTAAACATTTCAGTATAATCTGCTTACAATAGTTGAAATCATGGGTTAATTGAAGCTTGACCACCATGGAAAACCTGGAAGCACTGCTAAACCGTTTCCTCCTAGTATGCGACTCCTCAGCAGTGCTGATTCACGGTCCCGCCTCGTGATATTCGAACCAAGGACCTATCACTCTCGCGCGCGAGCGCTGCTGAGGAGTCCAGTGCTTTCAGGATTTTCATGGTGGTCTAGCTTCAATCGACTCATGATTTCAACTATCAAAATTACTAAAATCTCCACAAAACCCCTTCTGATATTCAGATTAGTAACCAAATCCTATTTACTCGTTATTTTATTTATTTATAAATAAAGGAAATTGATATTGGATTACATAAAGTTTGGCAAAAACATATTCAAGAGAAAATTAATGAATATACATTCCCAGCTGATGTTCGAATGTCACCACGAACTGTATTTACTTTATGGTCGAATAATGCCATTATACCAAAGAATATTCATAATACAAAAAATGTATTCCGATGTCCAAATATTTGTAAATGGTTTAATGGTCCAAATTATGTAACTATGGTATCGAATTCCCGTGATGAGGTATTTATTGTTGTTTCTTATTTTAATACTTTATTTATTTCTAACGTTTACTGTTATCGAAACTATACGTTCCTCCTCAATTGTTAATTATCTGTATAGGGGTTGCGGAGATTATTAAGTTTTTGACTGAGATCATGAACCGATTGATTTTAGACCACCGTTGGAAACCTGGAAGCACTGGCCTACCGTTTCGTCCTATTGTGGGACTCTTCAGCAGTGCGCATCCACGATCCCGCTCGCGGGATTTGAACCCAGGGCCTTCAGTCTCACGAGCGAACACTTAAACTACTGGACCACTGAGCAGGCATCCAATGGTGTATATGTCTAACATCAACCAATCCACGAATTTGCGCGACCATCTTACATTGTACTGAGATAGATACCTGTCTCTACCCAACACGGATTAGCTCCACTGGTCACGGCTTCTCACTAGAACTCTGAGAATTCCCTCACGAAGCTAGTCACCAGTGAGCACATCAATCGGTTCATGATCTCAATCAATTGTTAATGTTGTAACTGTAGGATCTTGAAAAGATCTTAAAATCATGTTTAAAGAAAAACATCGATTAAAGAAGCGACTTAGTCTAAGCTTTAAAACATTGAAAGTTCAATTTCCTACTTAATAGGGAATCGAAAATTCATCATTATTTTAATGACTAGATTTTTAATACTTTCGTCAATTTTTTTGAAAGATCAACTTGTAGCTTATATTCACAAATGTAAATTAATTAATTCGTTATAGTTCTCAAATTTCCTGGTACATTATCTTAGTAGTTTAGCAAAAACATATTTCTGTGCGGTTTCCAATCAAAGTTTGTTTTCCTCAGTTTATATGTCATTATATGTAGTTGTGAATTCCTCCTGGAGCCCCTCTCGGACTACTGTCAGCCACAAGCCTGAATAAAGGGGGAAGGTTGGGCATGGGGTTAGCGACTTCATCCCGTAGAAAAATAACTCGCAAAAAAAATGCAAACCAGAGAAAATAATTCAAACCGTTTAAACTCTACCCTCAGACTTGGAAAGTCTTCATTTAGAAGTGTAATGAAGCTTCACGTTGAAAGTCGAGTTCCTTCGGAATTCACGAGACTTTTATCTCTTTTAACAACCAGTGCAACTATCAATTTAGGCACATAGAATACTCATACAATGTGGGAGATCGGAAGAGTCATCCAAATTGTTGCAAAAATGAAAAGATACAAACTGAAGTTGCTTTGAATCAGTAAAACACATTAGACATCAGGGAAGTTGCTGTTATACTCCTGCCATAAATAAGAAAATGCTCCACATACACATATGTAGATGTGACTCAGATCATATTAACCTTTTATTGCTAGCAAAGAAATAAACTTGGCAATAACTGAATTAAAATGAGTATGTAACTATTCTATTATTTATAAATCTAAGTCATTACCTCTTTAGATCTAGATTCCAACTAAACAGTTTAACTGGCAAAACAGTTAGTTAAAAAAAAAGTATTTCTGTGAAAGAATATGAATCGATATTGTTCAGATTTATTATCTTCTCAGTGAAATAGTAGCTCAGTAGTATTTCATGTTTACCTAGCTCTGTTAGAACAATTGTAAACTATTATTAACCCATGTGAAAGGATTTGGCTTATACTATAATAACTGAATCTATGGTATGTATCATAAATTTACTCCTCATTTTTATAGATTTTAGCTTGGCTTACCCCATCTGCACGATGTTTTACAAGCCGAAATGAACGAGAAAATTCTCTTCAGAATTGTAATTCATCCGGAATTCAATATGCACCAGATTTTAATCGTGATCCGCTAATGATAACAAGGTAAGAGTGAATATGTTTTCTTTTTTTGCAAATGTTTCTGTAAAATTAAATATTGAAGTCTAGTTGATTTAGGTTTATGAGTCAAACTTCCTCAATCTTGATTTAATATTTTCAGTACTTATCATTAAAGTGTAACTAACGCTGGTCGTGTTGGATGGTGAATGCTGATGGGCAGTCTATGCTCCTCCACGAGGTGTAACAGGCGTAAGTAAGTAAATTAACACTGCCTGTACAACAAAATTGAACATATCGGTAAATGGATAGTTTCCTGTAAGTTTGGGGCATGCAAAGGTTATTAGATCGTAGAATACTAAACAAATCATACGATATTCCCATGTATTTTGGCGCAACATCTCACTATTATTATTGGAATTGTCCTACTGAACAAAGAATAAAGGTTTATTAATATATGAAAGTAGAAGTAATACAGTTTGTATTAAAGGCATTCAGAGATAGATTCATTTTTAGAATGACTGTTCTAGTGTTTTGATTTTTCCATTTACAAATGAAAAACTGCTATTCACAATTGATTGATCACTGGGTGGTGATCAATGTCATGTTTGTCAAGTTCTTCTCAGTGCAGATCAAATGGTATCGACCAAGTTTCAATGTGGCCACTAATCTTGGTGAATCAACATTGTGTGCACTATGTTGAAATAAGATGGTGGTTGGAGGTAGTCAACAGGAAACCCCAAACCTGCGGTTTCGTGCTATTTGGCACTCGTCAGCAAGGTGTACCTGTAATCTTAAGGGAACTGGTGTTCCCTAACAGATTCAATCCCGTGTCACCCAGCTTCACAGTCAGAGACGTTGTCACTGGGATATCCGGGTCGTGACCGACCTCCTGTAGAACTGAGATGTAATCACGATTGATTGACCACTGGATCGTGATCAATGTCATGTGTGTCAAGTCCTTCTATTTTGGTTTGGTCTTTCTATGATCATGTTTCAGATGGAAAAGGTTTTTAAGTCAGTATATATGATACTGAGCTTCTAAATCCTACTTATTTATCCTTCATTTCAAGACACTTTTTTATTATTATTTGTACACATAAACATTGGTACAAGGGAGCGCCATATATATATGCGCGACACAATGACAATATGGTCAGTAGTATTTGTCATTGATTTGTGTGAGAGCTGTGATGCTGCCCGGACCCTTAAAGCGAAGCAGGTGGTCCTCTTTGGGGGAGGGCACGTCCGGAGCATTTGACCTTAATGTCTAATTCACAAGACATTAGAGCAACTTTAGTATCTGCAGTCCCATGGTAGCCGATGACCAACAATAGGTTCATACGCCTTTTGTTCCTTCAGGATCACGAAGCCCATGTTAACCATTGGTTTGCAATGAGGATTTTTGAACTCCAACTGTTCCATATCTCTGCCAACCTGAATAATGTCTCGAGAATTCAGTGAGTAGGACAGTGGCTGTGTACGCGTGTCCACGCGAGAGCATTTCGCGCGCGCGAGAGAGAAACCACCGACTCTCCCCACTCTCGGCCGTACCAAGGCATCTTATTACCACACTATTCAGTTATAAGCTCACAGAACATTAAACATTAAAATTTCGAGTATGCATTTGGTTTGACTCAAAAACTAACAATTTGTATATGATTTATTAAATCTATGTTGCCTATTCTTTTTACTTCACTTTACAAACATACTTGAAAATATAGTTTACTAAATGGTTCTAAGCAACTATTTGAATCTGATATATATATATATATATATATATATATATATATATATATATATATATATGACAAAGGGTTTTTGTGGATATTACGTTAATTTAAGTAATTGAGATCATAAGTCAATTGAAGCTAGAACACTGGATAACCTGAAAGCACTGGACGGCCGTATCATGCTATTGTGGAACTCTTCAGCAGTGCGCATCCACGATCACGCTTACATGACTCGAGAGGTATTACCTGAAGTTCTAGTGAGAAGCCGTAACCAGTGGCGTTCAACTGGGTCTGTTGTGAGATGGTAACTCATTGAAGAACTTGATGGATGGGCCGCTCAATTTTGTGGATTATTTGAAGTTATATAGTAACATCATTAGATACCAGCCAGCTCAGTGGTGTAGAGGTTAATTGTTCATGCGTGAAACTCATAGGTCACCGGTTGAAATCTCGTGAAGTGGGATTGTAGATGCTCACCGCTGAGGAGTCCTACATCAGAACGAAACGGCCGTCTGATGCTTTCAAGTTTTTACATGGTGGTCTAGCTTCAATAATTTGTTCTTTCTTTTTCTCTATTTTATTTCTTATAGACAAAAGTCAAATAATACTAATAAATTATCATCCTCATCCTCATCCTCAGTAGCTAATCAATTTCATCATCAGAATTCTACTAATTTATCATTAAATGATATAGAAATTGATGAAATAAATCAAATGAAATTATGTAAAAATTCAACAGAAATAAATTTAAATGAATTAAATCAACAATATACTACTGAAATAATAAATAATTATGATATTATATCAATGATTAAAAGAAATAATCATAATAATAATAATAATAGTAATGGTAATTTATTAAAAATGAAAAATTTAATTACACTTAAACCTCCATATCACTCACAACAATTCATAAGAAATAATAATAATAATAACAATCTAAAGGTGATTATAAATCATTAATTATTATTATTATTACTATTATTGTTATTATTATTATTATTATTAGTATTACCATTACTACTATCATTACTATTACCATTATTATTATTATTACCATTATTATTATTATTAATATTACCATTATTACTATCATTACTATTACCATTATTATTATTACTATTATTGTTATTATTATTAATATTACCATTATTACTATTATTACTATTACCATTATTATTATTACTATCATTATTGTAACTATTATTATTATTATTGTTATTGTTACTATTATTTCCATCATTAATACTATTATTATTACTGTTATCATTATTATTATGACTATTATTATTACCGTTACGATTACTATTATTATTATTACTACTATTATTACTATTACTATTATTATTACTACTATTAATATTGCCATTATTGCTATCATTACTATTACTGTTATTACCATTATCACTGCTAATACTATTACCATTATTATTATGACTATTATAATTATCATTACTATGACTAGTATTACTATTACTATTATTATTATTACCATTGTTACTATTATCTACATCATTACTATCGTTATTATTACCATTATTTCCATTATTGTTGCTATTATTATTATGACCATTATTATTATTATTGCCATTATTACTATTACAATTTTTACTATTATTACCATTAGTATTATCATTATCAATACTATTACGATTATTATATTTATCATCATCACCATTATTATTATTACCATTACTGTTATTATTGCCATTAGTATTACTATTACCATTATTACTACTATTATTAATACTATAACTATAGCTATTTGGATTATTTCTATTATTACTATTACCATTATTATTATTACTATTATTTCCATTATCATTATTATTATTATATTATTATTATTATTATTATTATCATTAATGTCTTTATTCCATATTTTATTTTTGTACAATATAGAATTTTCAACACAAAATATTTCAACAAGTTTCCGTTTCTTATTTCTTAATCGATTCTGATGATAAACATTTAAATAATTGTCAGTTAGATGTTAGCAGTTCAATCAATTGACATCTTAAATAATGTACATTTTATTCACGTAACTATCGTAAGCATTAGTTGTAGTTTAGCTTTAATCAACTCATGAATTAAACTATTAATATTCAGTCAGTCAGTCAGCTACAACGTAGGACCAGGCACATATATGCATCGGTCCAAGTTGCCATACCTCATTAGCACAACAAGATGAGCACTAAATTCATAGAAGTGCTTAATTCAATTGTAGTAATACATAAAGGAAAGATTGTGTATAACGATATAATACAGGAAAAAAGAATTAGATCGTAGAAAGAAAAGTATAAAGTAATTTTAATCTCACGGTTTAAGAGAAGACAAAGAACGTATACATCTTCGCCATTGTGATCGATTCTGAGCTATGTCACTCAGAGTCTCCAACCATTGGATACGATAGTCACGCGGACCCCAACCAAGTAGTCTGTATCTACCAACATTGCTAAGACTAGAAGTTAATAACTTCAAGGACTGATGTCATGTTTTGGTTTGGTCGCCCTTAACTTTCTTCCATCCGTCTTCAACAGTAGTTAGCATTGTGCGTCGTGGTAATCTGTGTTCAGGCATACACAGCACGTGGCCCAACCATCTTAATCGGTGAATATTTAAAACCTCATCAGGTGATTTACCATCATTTCCTAACACCCTGCGTCTAACCATACTATTACTTACCCGGTGTTCCTAACAGATATGAGCAATTTTTTCCAAGACATCTGTAATTAAATAGTAGTAGCCAACGAGTATCTTCTACTCTTAGTGGCCTCGTTTAGCAGCCGTAAAATGGAACAGAACAAACTGCCGTACAGCATACTCGTCTCTTAATTGATAGACGGATATCTCGCCTTCTCCATAGGTGAGGTAATTTGATAAAAGCCAAGTGAGCTTTTCAAATCCCCAGTGAGATTTTATCAGACACCAGTCCATTGTTGCTGACCAAACTTCCAAGATAAGTGAAGTTGTCAACGGGTTCAACTACTTCACTCCCAATCCTTAGTTTAGTTTTTGACGCAGACCAGTCCTGAAGCAACCACTTGCATTTCGAAAGAAAGAGACGCATTTTGAACATCCTGGATACTTCTCTTTAAACAATTATATAATTTGAATTAGAGTTTACACGCTTTTACTTCATTAGGATAATACTAAACTTCTGATATTATCAAAAGGAGTGATTTGGAGTGTTTTTTTATTGAGAACACTTCCAACAGATTGTTCTTTGTTTTTGTGTGTGTGAATGTTTATATTCTATAGTTATGTAACATGTTTGTCAGTAGTATGTATTCTACTTTTCATTTCCAACAGATTCCTTACCCTTATAAACCATAATTCAATGATTCACCTCAATTATCCAATGATGAAACTAATCAAAATACACATTAATTTATGAATAAATCAAAATTTAATTTTAATGTAGGTTTTGTTTATTTTGATTATTTCAAATGAAACAGTGAAAAAAGCACATGACAACAATGAGGATACAATAAACGGAATGTCTATTTTGTGTATGTGTGTGTGTAGTTTGTTATGTACTTTTTTGAATTGATTGTTAAGATCAGTATTTTTTCAGCATTTTAATATTTTAACATTATTAAATAAATTATCTCTTTGATATCATGTATTTGATTGTAATATGGTAATACTGCAACTTATATCGACATAAGTAGTATATAACATGAATAAGGAATATATAATGTCTATCAGGTAAAGATTGAGAAGATTAAGAAAGGAAAAAAATGGGAACAGAAAGCAATTGGTTTGGAAATGCAGAAATAGTCAAGTTTGGGATAATTGTATGATATTTTGCAAGTTATGTATGGTCAATAGCATTCGATCTGCACCAAGAAGAACTCGACACACATGACATTGATCACAATCCAGTGATTAATCAATTGGGATTCCATCTCAGTTCTACAGGAGGTCAGTCGCGGCCCGGATAGCCCGGTCGTAACGTCTCTGACTGTGAAGCTGGGTGACACGGGATTGAATCTGTCAGGGAACACCAGTTCCCTTAAGATTACAGGTACTCCTTGCTGACGAGTGCCAAATAGCACGAAACCGCAGGTTTGGGGTTTCGTGTTGACTACCTCCAACCACCATCTTATCTCAACATAGTGCACACAATGTTGATTCACCAAGATTAGTGGCCACATTGAAACTTGGTAGATACCATTTGATCTGCACTGAGAAGGACTTGACACACATGACATTGATCACCACCCAGTGACCAATCAATTGTGATTACTGTATGGTGCTCAGACTTTACTTAGATGTACTGTAAGTTTGTGTTTGTATACATCCAATTGCCCTCACTTGTTTTTTTCACTAAAAAAAACAATACAATCCCACCCGACGTACTTCCAAATCGTTTGATATTTACGTCTTGTTAAATTTCCAGTTCAACTGGAACTATTACTAGTTCGTATCACTTCGAAACATTACCTGGTATCGTTTTAAACACGAATTCTAATAATTTTGATAAATAACCTGTCAGCGCTTCACTGTAGAATGTGGAAGATTACTCAGGATGCTTTGATGCTTGATTTTTATCAAAGAACTTTGAAGAAAATTAGATTTCATAATTTCTGTGGAAGAAGACTTTAGTTTGTTGAAGAATCTTGCATATCTTGACAATCCTATTCTAATTCCGTCCAATAAACTAGAAATATCTAGAATACGTTTCTTGTTTGGTATTGTTTTTTTTATCGACCAGTTTTTTTTTCATACACACTTGATACACTTTTCTGAGGTTCCTTACATGTGACACGTAGGGAGTGAAGCGTTTTCGATGTTAACAGCTTTTGGAGGTATTATTTTGTTGCATTTTCACTTTCATGTGTAACTTCCGTATGTAAAACTTTTCCGTTGATATTTGAAGATTTCATCTTTAATTAAATCCTTTTTCGGTATCGGATGTTCTATGACTTGATGGCCACATTATTGCGTAGGTGATATTTTGAATAATCGTTTAACTATTGATGTTGAAAGATGTTAGTGTTGCTTGACGATGTATGCGTAAGTATGAATAAAAATACTCGGTTTATTTTTTTATGTAAATTCAAGATGTATCCGATATCGACAATCGCTTATGACTAACAAGGATGCATTTGGATTATCAGGCAAAGGATTACGGGTTAGCTTGCTGTTTTAATTAGTAATATATCTTAGTACCTTTAAACAAGTGATTCCTAATAACGGCTTACGAAACAGTAACTAATTATCTTTAACACAGAGTATTTGTCAAACGATTCTCAATTCTGAAGCCTTAACCGTCATGAAATGCAAGTATTTATACCCATAACACGATTGATTCTAACTGGAGCTTAGTAATTGACCACGCTGATAAGTATTTCTATTAAAGTGTGTTATTAATCAACCACAATCATCTCCGAAATAATGTTGTCTAGGTTAAGTGTCTGCTTGGCGTCTTTAGCGTTTTTTTAGCGAGTTAGTTTCCTACGTGATGAGGTCGTTAACTCCATGCTTAACCCTCCTCCTTTACCTGGGCTTGCGCCTGGCAGTAACTCTAAGAGAGCTACAGGAGTAGTTAATCCCTTCACGTTCCTGGGAAGCATCGTCGATGAACAAGAAGGGTCGTAAAGTCGAGGATTGGCAAAGCAGGGGCCACATTCCTACAATTGAAGAACGTATGGAACTCAAAGCAACTTTCAACCATCAGCAAAGTCACAATCTTCGATACGATCGTCAAGACAGCCCTACCGTGCGGAGCTGAAATTTAGAGAACTGCCACAACTATCACAAAGAGAGGACAAATATTTATAAACAACTGTCTACACAAGATACTGAATGTCCGTTGAACGTACACCATCACCAACGTTTTACTGTGTGAGAGAACAAATCAGTTTCCAGCTGAAGAGGAAATTAATAAAAGACGATGGAAGTGGATAGCACATACATTACAGAAATCATGAAACTGCATCACGAGGCAAGCGCTATCTTGGGATCCTGGACGGAAACAGAAAAGAGGAAGGTTAAAAAGCCGATGTGTCGAGAATTGGATGTAGACATGTAAAGGATAAATAGCAACTGTAAACTATTTTCCAGAATACACTTGAATGAAATATGCTGGTGGGTGACTTATGCTCCTCGAGTTGTAACAGGCGTAAGCACGTACAATCTAAAGTTCACTTTATCATGGTATTCTAGATATTTCCATCGATTTCAAACGTTTTAAAAATGAAATATTGCCGATTTTTACTTGGTTAATAATGACTCACATGTTATCTGTCACTGTACTTTAAACTTTGTACAAAATAGTTATGTTATCTTAATTTCGATTGTGGGACTCATGGTCATCAGTATATCATACTTTTACTGTAAGAATCAGATTGGAAGAACAGCATGAAGTCGCGCGAATAACTTAACAAATTATCGAATCCCATCAAATTGTTTACTACAAACTCTACCTTGGGAGCATATATGTTTTGTGAAATCGCTCATTTAAATCAGATTTATAAACGCGAACTTGATACTTTTCATTAGTTCAAGCGTTTAAACATCCTAAAAATGCCAAGGTATGTTCAAGGTTTGTCAGCGCCTTTGGTCTTTTATGGTAATTAGAAGTAATTGAATTATAGTATGAACTAATAATCCCAGGTATAACGCAATTGAATCAAGAAGTACTACACAAGCACTAACGAATGTATTGTATTTAGAATTCGAAATAAAACATTCAACAAGTACCAAGGAGTCATTAGTTCATTCAAACACCACATCTTTGCAATTTTCTAATCGATAGATACTAACTCATTAAAATCAAAAGACACAAATGGAAGAGTTCAAAGTCATATTTGGAAGGTAATTGGTATGTTGAGAAGCGTTTGATTCAAGATGGCTAGTTGTTGCTCAAGTTGCGTAGCATGTCGTACTCAAATTTGATGTTGTGAAGATACTTGACCCGGCATCTTTACAAGGGCGTTTTTCGAAAAGAAGTGAAGTCAACAATAATGTCGAAGACCTACATTACTAGATACTCCGGGGATTTATTTCTTATTACTTGTTAATCCACCCATAGTGAAGTGATGGTAACACTAAGGCAGCGGTAAAAATTTGGCATTTAAACGTTATTTTGGATTTTTACAAAACGTTGTACACATATATGGGCATGTCGATGGATCATTTTAATGTTACTGACATCAAAAAAAGGAACTAAGATTAAAAGCAAGCAGTCGTAGAGCCTAAAGCGAGATTAAACGAAAACCAATGAAATCTTTTGCTTGTAGTATTTGTTCGGGTATTCTAGAAAGCAGCATATTATCTTTTACTTGTTATCGGATACCAGAAAAATTCCGAATCTGCCGTCAACTATTAGGGATTCCATCTTAGTCGTAGGACTTGTATCATTCGATTGTTTACTGGGAAGCCAACATAGATGCAATTTCTTCCTAAATAACCGTCCTTAGTCCATCGTTTCCGATGTTGTCGTAAGTTCTGTTCTCTTCAACTGTATAGTACTTGGGTTTGCGATGAAGATCTCTGTGGGGTTCTTCATGCGCATTTCTTAGGGTTCGGCTTAATAAGTCGCGTCGCATAAAAATGCTAGTTGACTGCCGTCGAGTGGATGTAGGTTTAACTGAACCTATCGAGCCAATAAACCTACTCGTGTGAATGTTTATACCCATATTCAGCGAACAAAGAGAGTCCCACGAGTCTTCCTGGAAGTTGGAGTGTCGTTCCGTAAATGAATTGTGTTGCAGTTTACTCAGCGTCAGCTTTCACCTCATTGCAAACGCCAAGTAGAACGAGTGGAAGAGCGTAAGTTCATCGTGAAATGCTTGTAACTGGAGGCAAAGACTTCAAATGCTGAGGAAATTCTTTTATCAACCCCTTAACTTGTGGATGGAGATTGGCCGCTTTTCATTATTTGATTCCTAGAAGTGTATTGAGAACACAAAAATCTCTGTGTTTAAACTAGCGCTAATGATCTGTGGCATCGGTTGGTTGACATCTAAAGCTTACTGTTCATTGATCAATGAAGGTACTGGTCGCTTTTTCAGTAATAATTTTCTTGATGAGTTGTGCTTCTATCAATCCTGTTGAATGTTTCACACACGTCAAGAGTATTACTTCGAATTTATTGCGGATCCTACTAAATCAAGATGAAAGTAGTTAAAACGAAAGTTAGGAGGGGTGGAAGAGCCCTGTATATATTTCTTGTGACCAATCAAACCATATTTCTAGCAGCTTGCGTAGTAGCGTGTTCATACGAGGGTAACAACATTATTCTTAAGATGATTGCTCGAACAACTTGATGAACACGCTTGTGAAACATGTTGGAGACACTAGTTTGATGGTGTTCTGGCACGAGTAAGAGACCCCGACCTGTATTAAAGACTCAAGGTTATTTGATTATACGCTTAATCTAAGTCGGTTTCCAAAATAACAGTCATAAATTTCAAGATAACTGCTAAGTCGTGGTTGCGTGGCAAGAGGCAACGATCTTAGATTCTCTTCGTATTTGGTCATCATTATTCACTATTTAGACGCCTATCATTTCCTTCCTTACTAGCAACCATATACAGTGGAGATGCCCATGGTCTGTTTGACGTCCGGATTACTCCGATTTCGCCATATACTCGAATTCCTTTTGACCAGCTCAAACATTTCTAGGGTTGTGTTGAGCCGTTCCGAAAATACGGGTGGTTCTGCAGTCGTGGCATTACAAATAGGATTGCTGAATGCTCACAGTGATTGCTGTAATCTTTTGTACATTTCGAGGTATAAGTCAAGTTTCTGTTGCGACTAACGAAGTCCTACACACAAATATTTCAGAAATTCTGCCTTTTAACCTTCGTTTCTATGAGTCGATAAGTAGATTATGTTGTGTTAGCAGGTCTTTAACAATGATTTACACAGAAAAGTCCGCGGTAACGAAAATCTGACGAATAAGTCTGCGTAAACCCATGTTAGAGTAAACGTATATTTTGCCATATGCAATAGTCGGTATTCCTTCGGTCGCATGTAGGTTGAAGATAGGCCTTTGTAGACAGTCATTATTGTTCGAGGTAAAAAGGCTTACGTTTGTGACAGTGTTGAATAGATTACAGACTTTCTTCACATCAGTGATAGACACAGATGAAAATGTAAATCAGCTACAGCTGTTATTATCGCGTGCAGGAATTTTTGAATTTCGGTAAACTACAACGTTCCCCGAATGTTCTAGAACAATTACACTACTTGTCGTGGCACCAGCGCCAACAGCGGCTATCCGTACCCCGTGGTTTAGAAACTGATCTTTGTAGTGAGGAGCTTCTACAGGGTGCTTTGAAGAGTCTGTGGTCGTGAATAATGTAAGGAGAAAAAGTGACAGCATTACAGACATTTGTAATGTCATTTTGTGTCTATTGTTTCCTTTCATTGATAAAACAGACCTCAGTGCTGAGTGTTCCGTTGATCGCAAAAACTCAGTCGGCAAATGAAGCCAGTTTGTATACGGTGTAATGAGTAGGATGAGAACCGCTCGTACCTCCTGGGAAAGCTCATACGAGAAATGTTGTCTTAATAGGCGGTTATCGAAAGCCCGTTTAGCAATCAACTACTGTATACGTAGCAACATTTTTGTTGCTGAACGTGAATTCAAAGGAGAGGGTGTTTGTGTGTCTGTTTCAACGTTATGTAGATAAATTATACGGATAGTTGAAAACGTTCGAGATGCATAGTACATCGTACCCAATCGTAATGTTGTACAGATATGTGACCGAACGCCTTCAAGTAGAGTGTAATCAGTAAATGTGAAGTTGACATCAATTTCCAAGACTTACAAAAGCATTTATTTTAAGATTCATTAGTTGTTACAGAGCTAATATTGTCAATGTCTACATAGTTAATGATAACATTAAATTCCGCTCTAATCGTCATCGTAATTCTGATTGGCTAGCTCAAGGCGGTTGTTTCATAATTGATTTATCTTCAAGGTCGGAGCTATTTGCACACTTTTATGCCCTGATGGTGAGCCATAGATTATTTGGAGTTTCAGAAAATATCTTCTGTTGATTTGTTGAAGACTAAAAAGCGAAGGATTTTAATTTTCATTAGAAGGATTCAGATCAACAGACATGTAATTCATATTTCATCGCCATATATTGGCTATATCAGTTAGAATAATAATTCATAGTAATACCAATATGCAAGTCAAACTGTACCATACTGCCGGACGGTCTCGGGATGTTTTTAAACAGTGAATAATTTTCTTCATTGTCCTGGATTGCTTTTCCTAGTTTATTATATTTGCTCGCTGACTTTTTAATCTATCAATAAGCCAGCGTGCAAATATGATACGTTCGTATCATAATGTTCCCTAATAAACAAGTGATAATTTTAGTATTCCGGGTACCTTCGTTTGTGCATTTGTGCTGGTGCCAGTGCACTCCAACATCATTATGTCACCTATTAATAGGTGACATGGTAATTACCATGTTCCTGTAAGCACGCAGGTTTGCTAGTCTCTCACAATTCTCGTTCATTTCGTTTTATAACGAGTTGGAACTCAATCTTGCCCATCCCGACTTCGGCGTCTAGGTTCGATATCAGGATGGTCATGGCATTCCCTGGCCAGTCCTGTGTAATGGACAGGAGCATTTCAGGAAACTAATCTTGATCATATTGACTGCTGTGATTGGTGAATGCATAGCACTGGGTGACACTCACGGAAATCCTTCGTTTCTTTTGAAGTTTACTTTGATGGTACTGATGTCATGAGATTCCCACCCTATAAACGTTCTTCTTGCTTCTTTGGCGAGAACGTATTCGAGTACTCCATCTCTACCCGAAGTTTGTTCTGATGTTGTTCTAAAGAAAAATAAGAGCTCTACGACCACGTCATCCAGTTCAAAGAACAAACCTATAGCCAAAATCAACCAACTGAGCTACAGGTATTCTCCATCATTGTCTAGAATCTCCATGCCCCCATAATACTCGTCGCTCTGGCACATATATTTATATAAATAACCACATTTGAACTATGAGATTAAAATCGCTTCATATTTTTCTTTTTACAAATTAGTTCCTTCTTCCTGTACTATGTTCTTATATACTATCTTTCCTTTATATATTAATTTATGAATTCGGTGTTCATGAACACAACAAGATGCATATTGTTGTGCTAATGAGGTATGGTAACTTGGACGGATGTACATATGTGCCTGGTCCTACATTGTAGCTGACTGACTGACATTTGAATCATGGGGTACAAACAGTAACTTTTTGTCTCAAAATACAGTAGAAGCATTAAAATGTGTGCGGAGGAAGTGGGCTATGACGGCATAATTGTTTACTTATTTCTTGGAACGAATGACTTCGATGCTTTAAATTCTCTTCTCAGTGTTGTGTTAAGTCAACGCGTTCTTTTGTACGAATTTTCTACATGTTCATTTCGGTGTAATTATGTTTTGTTTGTGATCGTCTGAGATATTTCCAGGACAAAAAATAATCACATGGATGCTCCTTTATCTCACAATGTCATTTTCTTTAGGAATTTCGTGACAGATTTTGTGATACCAGCAAATGTTTTTGACACCTTTAGTGTGAAGTCGGGCTTACACAGCACTGTGAATTGCAAAGGCTAAAGTAGTTTTCTTAGCTTTTTATTTTGTTCTACCGAATGTGTACGTTGGTCAACATATTTACTAGATCAGACGTGGTAATCAGGACTAGCTATTTATGAGAACAGACTGGTAGGGAGGTTCTAATTTAGTGGCCTCACGTCATTAGGTCTGAGAAAACGTTAAGCTCAAAATCAAATATAGAAACCTGTATTTATCTTTACATATGTGTTAAGATCCAGCAATCCCTACCATCCATGGCGTGTTGCTTAATTTGTTTGGAGTATCTCATCTTTGCCTGTTATTTCACGCAATAGCCAGGAGAGTCATCACTAGTAGATAAAATCTCACATTAACCACCAGCCTGTGGGTGATTCTTGCTTGCAGTTTATCTGTTGACATTCGGCGTAGGTCCCTAAGGTTCTTTATTGAAACTATAAATCCTTATACTAGCTATGAACATTCATACTTGTAGACCCATGTATTCGACCTTATGCCACACTTCAGTTGTCAGGGATGGTCCTACTAAGCAGCTACTCGAACCGAATAATGTGTGCAACTAGAGTGCTTTGGACACCTAGTTTCTGCATGTGGTGACGCATATATATTTGGTGCCCCCCTGTACCAATATTTATGTGTTCAAATAAATAAATAATAAAAAAATGTGGTGACTTGTATTTACAAAAGTATCGACAGGCCCGTAAATACTTAACACCAGTTCAGTAGACGTCTATGTAATTTACAGTAGCAATGCAATATTTTGTCAGAAAAAACGTTCAGTTAACATGCTGCTCCTCCAAGATAGTGTATTTTTCGTCTAAAAAAATGCTCGCTAGAATTAATGTTCTTTCAACAAACGCTTCCTCCATAATTCAGATTTTATCACCTGAAAGGAAATGTGGATGTAAGGGAATCCGGACTTGTGCAGTATGTGACAATGACAACATTCACAAAGATGTACGATAAAAATTTTCTAATTATGATGTTCAGGAAGGACGACAGCTTTACGAGTTCACATATTGTCCTTTTTGCGATATGGCAGTCGTTGAAACAAACACCATGTCAAAAGAGTTTCATGTCCATCAAGGTGGTTTTCCTTTCCTGGACATCAAAGTTATTCAAAATTTTATTGACGAAAATGAAGAAGCAATGCTGGTCGAGGAGATCGATAAACAAGCATGGGTTTTATCTCAATCCGGGAGGAGAAAACAGGTATGTATATTATATCCTAAATTTCTATCATTTTTTCACCGAAATCTCGGTCACTATATATCATTAATCTTCAGCGTTACATATACATGGCACTAGTAGTGTCCTGTCTCAGTAAAATATATGTGCTAAAATGCGACTATATGAAGGAGGTGCCTTGTAGTTATTAATTGATATTTTGTGCCTTATATGGCCGAGTTGTGAACGCCGTTAAGACTGGGAAATAGGACTTTCAACAATAAAAAAGTAAAATTTAGTTTGGTGTTCATAATTCATATATGTTGTAACGAAGACTATATTTTACTTGCGTGAGATCATCATATACACATAAAAATTATAGCTGAAATGTAATTTAGTCAATAAAAGGTTGAGTATGACTGAATCAGGGGAAAAGTTAGTCTTAAATCGTTGATTATCAGTATAAGTCGTTTCTGGATATGTCTTTTCAAAGGGTTTTTGGGAAGTCAGGAACAAGTAGCAGAAATTACGCCTTACCATCAAGCAAAGACGAAAGTTAGATAAAAACGTAAAGTTAGTACTTCAGTCAAGGGGGCATCGATTTAAATTTCCACACCTAATAAATTCAGTAGGCATTGACTGATCACCTGTATCTTCTTCAACAGCCGTTGTCTGGAATAACTGAGATATTACCTAAAATATGATATTCAGATAACCTACTTTAGGTGATCTAGTTGATTTATCTTTCCAGATTGCAGGAAAGGAGTCACCCTTGTGATGATTCAATCAATTGTAACTCACTTCACCAAGTATATAAAAACTGTGGGTCTATATTTGTTCAGTACCTAGTCTATTTATGAGAGGAATCAAATTAGGTAAGGCAAAAAGCGTTCATGGTAAGTCGACAGCGTACTTATACAATTATAAACTTTCACCACATCCTTAGTTACTGATTATTATTAGCGTTTTAATTCATCGTTTGTTGAGTGTTGTGGTACTGTCAATAAATGCGAAAAGCATCATGCCAGTTTACAATGCTTTAAGTTAATACTTAGAAATTTGTGTGATACGTTCATGCTCTGTGTTAATATTTTGCAATAAACCGAAAGAGACTACTTTGTCCATTTTTCCTCTGTCTTGCTAACTAGAGTAAAACGACCAGTCTCGTAATGTGACCCTTGTTGATGACCTCGGTAAAACTGCTGAACTTCCGCTAGTTGAATATTCGTAGTGCAGTAGTGCGCTATGTAAAATAGCTAGTGGGAATAAAACATGTGATAAATTTATAAGATCTCTAACAGTCTATTTATGTTACTCAACATTAGTGTTCATTCGGTGTAGGTGAGGTATGGCAACTTTAACCGATGCATATACGTGCCTGGTCATACGTTGTAGCTGACTGACCGACTCAATGTAGGTGTCAAGTCTTATTCCTCTTGTGTATTGACTCAGTCAGTCATAATCAACATAGAACCTGGGATAAATGTGCAGTAACCCAACTTACCATCCAACATCAGCACAGAGAGATGAAGTTGACAAGTTAAATGACTATCTACAACAAACATTCACAATGTGGTCCGACTAGAGGGAATGGAGCGCTATGCATGAACGCATACTGAAACTAGGAGTCTAAGGGAAAATAAAGGATGAGTGCATCTGCCCCACTGTGACTGCTAATTCTAAGCCATATCACCCAATCACTAATGGCAGTTATTGTAGGGGCCACAACCAGGTAGTCTACACAGACGAACATGGATGAGATGAACAGTGGATGACTGTACAGATTAGTTAAACGGCCCTTAGATTCCTTCTGACTTACGCCTACTCCACCCGACGTTGCACGTCAAGGTAAGTGGTTGCTGAACATACCTGATACAGGTCCAAGCCACCTCAGGTGACGAGAATTCAGTCTCGTTAGCCGATTTGCCATCTTCGTCTAGTAGCCTATTTGCAGCCTCAATACTGCTTACTCTGTGCTTCCAAAATACGCGGACAATGCTCCGAAGACACTTTTGATCACAGTCTGCAGTTAACATGTCTTCTACTTTCGTGAACCATGTTCCTTATATATGGATTCCTGCTCAATAGACTCGTCTCTTCGTTTGTAGTCGGATATTATGCTTACACCACAAGTGATGCAATTTCTAAAAGTCAAGTGGGATTTCTAGAATTGGTCAGACGCCAAACCACTTGGTCTGATGAAACGTCCTGCTGAAGTAATTGATGCAACTACTGTACTGCCACATTTTCAGTCTAGGCAATGACACAGGTCAATCGTAAAGCAAAATCCTATTGTTAGAAAGAAAAATGCATCCGAAAGATGCCTACGTTATTGCTCATGGTCTTCAAACAACTACGAATTGCGTCAGTATCTTCAATCAATTTTGTTGTTCCATCTGCCTCATCCATATTAGTTGTTGGGTTTTCAGAGGCAAGGTCAATCACTCAAAAGTTTCATGAAGAAATCGAAACTTGTAAAACGTCATCTGTGAAGAAATTGGTTTTCGAAAAGTGGGACAGTAGGTAAGCATGATGAACACTTGGGATTGACGCTTCGCCATGAGCTATTGGGTAAAAAGGCTTTGCAATTTCCACGTACATTTTCAGTGCGCTTTTCTAATCACAAACAGTGGATGGTTGTACAGATTAGCTAAACTGTTCTTAGATTTCTTCTGACGTACTCCTACTCCTATGTCTTCTCTTGTAATTCGCAAGTAACAAATGCTATTGATGATTTTGTGTTCTTACTCCACAACAGAATACTTTTTAGTGTTAATTCTTCACGTCTTCTTATGACCATTATATCCACTCGTCTTGTCACTTTTTCATTGTGTTATTTTGGCGTTAATGATCTCTTCTCTGCCTGTGGTTTCCAAATCACCTAATTAAGTCGACGGGTTCACATTACAGGTTCTGCTATGTTTCAGCCAACAATGTTGTCAATGTTTTTCTTAATGTGATGTTACTGCTTTGAAATGTTGACATTCAGTATGTTCATATGAGTTTGTTGCCAAACGTTGTTTTAGGATTATGGACCAAAAGTGAATTTCAAACGACAGAAGGTGCAGATTGGAGGATTTTATGGTCTGCCAGTATATTCTAGGTTCCTGATCACACGTTACAATGATATGATTAAAGAAAGCAAATCTCTTCGCCCTGAATTTCTCCCAGTAGAGTTGTGCAACCTGGAGTATAAATCAGATCGTGCAGCTTGTATTGTACCGCACTATGATGATTCATGGTTGTGGGGTGATCGATTGGTGACTGTCAACTTGAGTGGCACCACTTATTTAACTTTCACATTACCGACAACCGATATAGTGGATGGCATAAACGATGAATTTCAACGTATTCAATCATATATGCCAAATGTCTCCCGGGGGTCAGTAAGTCTACTGTATTTTCAATAGTACCTCCAAACTGGTTGTATGATTTTTACAGCATTGGATTATGTTTAATGTACCTAATTAGTAATCTGTAATGTTATTTTGTAATGTAAAGATTCATCTGTGCGTGGGTCATGTGTTCAGACATGTACTAAGGAAGATGAAATTCATGTTTTGCTGTTCTGTGTATTTAGTTACGAAGATTCGTAACTCAGATATCACACCATTAGTGGTTTCAACTTCCAAACAACGCGCAGGGAACTATTTAAAATAGCTATAATTATTAGTTGATAAAATACAGGATGACCTGTTGTTTGAACAGTTATCATGATGTCTTTCTTTTACGTACGTTTAACGCTTATTATTTCGAGTAATTAGTTGACCGTAGTGAACTGAATATTCCACTTATGGGAGATTTTGGGGGGTTTTTTATGATTGAAATATATGGTTGTTTTTGTTGTCAGTTTTTATAGGTTTGAGTATATGCCTACTTGATTCGGTTTGGGCACCGGGGCAGTATTTCAACTCACACACAAATCAAATGATAATTACTACTGAGAAATTTTTTTCTTGTTTAAACTCTTATTGAGACAAATCATATTCACAACCATTTGATAACATTCGTTTTTATTTTTTAACTTATACAGCAGCTCATATATGGTGGGAAACCTGTCCTATCTAAACGATCTCATGTCACTGACTGGTCGACAGTTAAATGCTACCACCGTCTACGAATACTGAACCAGTCTTTTTGGAACCACGTATACCATTCAAACTTTTTTCATTCAACGTTCGCACACTAATGCAGATCGGACAACATGTAGGGTTGGTAATGTCCTTAGAAAGTCTCAACATCGATGTCTGTTGTCTATCTGAAACCTGTATTCATGACTGAATTGAATTACTACAAATTCGCTCTCCATCTGTCGCTTCGAAAAGCCTGTTTCACGTGCGTCTATCCGGGGACCCTGTGGCATTTTTGTTTAGTTTTGATGACGTTGATGTCACACTAACCTCTGTAGCTGACGCAGTACTAATCGACCGGACCTCCATTAGCAATGCGTTATGTACTGTTAAATTAGAAAGTTACATTAAACTGAGAAGGAACCTATGACAGATACGATGTCTTTTCGTCACCACTTACCCTCTGACAGATTGCAGCTCGGAAGCGATCAAGGATGCATTTCACCACCAATTAACTGTTCTACAGAAAGTGCGTTCGATAGATACTGGTACGGCCGAGGGTGGGCAAAGTTAGCTTTCCCTGTCGAAATGCCCTCACGCTGCCACTGCCAGGGAATTCCTACTGACTGCCTTCTCGCGGCGGTTTCCGAAATTGAGAGGACAAAAAGCGGATGTTTGGCGCTTTAACCGGGTTAGTGGATAAGCAGCACCCTCCTAGGGGAGTTGTAAGACCCTGATAAGCACTGGGTTTCTACAGGCTCCTTATAACTTGTCAAAGCACGTCGATTTATCCCTTGCGACTGCGAATGTGGCCATTACCGAATATTGTGTCGTAATGAAATTTTGCAAAGCTCGTGTAAGTAACAAGAAGCCTGGTGTTTGAAGAGTGCCAACGAGCTGAAAACTGCCAGATGCTCTTTCACTGGCGGTAAGGCGTCTGGTGTGAGTGAAACAATCTGTGAAAATAACGGAATACCAGTCAGTAACATTTACTGACATCTCGGACGATGGGCAGTTTTTCGAAGAGCAGTTCAATTGCTCTAATGCCCCGGTGACTTCGATCAGACTGTCCTGTACTCCAAGGCACGTGATGATTGGCAATTAGACTGTTCCAACATCGTAGAATGAGTCGATAGTCGTTTCTATCTTTGAAAAGTGTTCACGTCGTTTCTGTAACAACTATCGAGTGGATAAATCTACTTCTGATCGCGTCCAAACTATTGGCATCCGTCACACTTCGTAGAATGTTCAAATCCCGAGAAAGATTGACTCGTAAAGATCAGGCTGGTTTTTGTTATGGTGAAGGATGTATTGATCGTATCTTCACCCTCCGCCAAATGTCAGGACACCGTCATAATTATCACAAGCCAACAATCGTTGTTTTTTCTTGACATCAGGGCTGCCTTCGATTCGTTGAACAGGGTTGCTCTCTGGGATTGTCTATTGAAGAAGGGTGTGCCCGAGATGTTTATTAACATCCTAAAAGCCCTATATACAAACACCTCAAACACAGTGAAGGCATTCAACCATCCCCATTGTTCCATTCAAACAGTGGGGCTAGACAGGGTCGCCCACACTCACCATTCCTCCTTAACTTTGCTACTGATGACGTCCCGAAAAGAGCTCTGATGTATGTAGGTAATGGTGTGGATCTGTTTTTCTGTGCGATGATACCCAGGTAGTTATGGTATGTGTTCTGCACCTTCTAAGTGCGAAGTACTTTTACATGACTGACAGAAACCTGAACATGCACTCAGCCTGGGTAGTGAGCAGATAGAACCAGTCAAGAAGTACGCGTATCTGGGTAGCTGAGTAAGTTCTGGTGGTGGCGTGAGTGATGAGATCGATTCACGTATAGTGAAAACCAGAGCAGCTTATGCCAGTCTAGGTCATTTTGGCGCCTTCGTGATGTTAGTCTGACTGTTAATGGTCGGATCTACAATGCGTTAGTGATAAGACGAACTAATAAAACTACTGATGATCAGTGTCTTTATCATGATTAAACATTTCTTACGAAAATTTTCCCTGTTTCGTAGACCTAGTAAAGGTTAATGGGCGAGACTCTAATTTAGGGACGACCTTTGAACGAATTTTGAGTGACCTTGAGAATATTAGCCAATCAGAAGACAGCCAGTATAACGTAGAAATATATTAGAAGAAACTAATGGATTACAGTGAATATACTTATTTCACGTGATTTAAAAACTTATCAAGGTTTGCTAAAGTTTCAAATGTTTTGAAATGATATTGTATACGGTATAAAATTTCATAAATTCCAAGTACCTGTCGAGTATATTCACGGAAATGCTACTTACACAATCCTACTTTATACTACGTCCCCTGTTGTATTTTAGCTTTCTCACTGCCGTTTCATCTGTCTGCACGATGCATCCTACTCCTCCGAATGATTGGTGTATACGTGTTATTTTAGTTGCACATATGTCACGGCAGTACTTATACCACTGGACTGCTGAAGTTTCATAAACAACTGCAAACGCCGCAGCCAGTGTTACTGGTGTATTTATTATCCAATTTGCAACTATTATCATAATCTGATTCAGTTTCAGTAGCAATCGAGCAAAGAAAGTCCTCGTTTTAGCAGACTTTCTCCTCCAACATGAAGGACAACGCAATATAATCTCACCACGGTGGTTTGCACACTTTACTGCGGTCATATGATAACCGCAGTCTCACGTACAAGAACTTTTTAGTAATCCCATCCCTTGTAGCCTCTCAATAATCACCTCTTCTCTAAAATCCGCTGTAAACCGATCATATGTGAGCATCACGTGTTAAACTTGGCTCCGTGACCTTGAAACGGCTCACACGCTTCTGATTGGCTCGTCCCTAAATTAGAGTCTCGCCGGTTAATGATTAATTAAATAAACTGATTGTATAAGCCGTATGCCAAACATGATCTAAGTTCACTACATCCAAATAATATCGGCTGTAATATAATTGTCAAGCGATCAATATTATCCTTATTACAATGGTTATGAAGATTTCTGTAATTAATTTATGAACTTTATTACAATATTCAGGAGCTTTTTTCCTTTCTGATACAAGTTTTTATTTTGTAGTTTTGCGTACGTGTTCCGCTGGACAGACGTTCCCTTGTGGTTGTTAGTGGACCTGCGCGATATATCTGGCAACATGAAATTAGGCGTTCAGATATACCTATTCGACGTATTGCTATGACATTTCGTGAATTGAGTAATACATTTTCTCCTGAATTAGGTAATATGACAGACGAACAAAAATTTGGTAAGAAACTCTTAGAAATCGCTTCTACATACGCTCATATATGAAATAAAAAGCTGAAATATACAACTTTGTTAATAACAACTAACAAATACAAACGCTTATTTCATTAAACTTAAAATTGACAAGCTACACTCACAAAATTGTTCTAGTGAAGAGACATACAAATAATGGTGAAATATTCAATAAACTATATAATCTCTGTTCCTCATAACATTCAACTCTTAAAGTTACAGGATCATGAAGTTCCTAGACATTCAGTAATATTATACTGACAGGAAAGCAATTCTTGAGAAATTCTCTATATAAATTTAACTGAAGCCTAAATGACGAGTGAAGCAGTTAAATATGAGTTAATGTTATTTCATGCTTTCTCTTCAGTTGCCTACAATCGTATTCGTATCAAAGTGTAACATTGAGATATAATAATAATAATAATACGAAATTATAGACATTGGTAATGGAATAGAAAAATTCTATACGTGAAGATACACGCTGACAGAAATTCATTGAGAAGTATGTCAAAACATATGGACATTTTGAATATGATACAACATAAAAGAAAGCTTGCTTTGTACATATTCGCTTTAATGAAGCTGAAGTTACTGAAACAATTATTGACAATACAAAATGGCGCAATGAAGATCGCTTATTCAGTAACAATAAAGTAAACTGTCCTTTTTAAAAAAAATTCGACAAGTCTTCTTCTCTCAGTACCTCCAACTTTATTATTTTATTTCAACACATAGATATTAGTACAAAGAGGCACCAAATATATATGCGCCACACAAATCTCAATTGAAATGTGTGAGGGCTGTGATACTGCCCGGGTGCCCAAATCGAAGCAGGTGGTTTTCTTAGGGGGCCACACCCCGAGCCTTCGACCTGAACGTCTGATCCACAAGGCAGTGCAGCATCGTGAGGAGATGCAGTCTCATGGTAGCCGGTGACCAAGAAATCGGTTCATACGCCATTTGTTCCCGCAGGATACTGGAGCCCATGTGCACCATTGGTTTGGGATCCGGTTAAACAGCAGGACGTTCGCTTTTCGTCCTCTCATTTTCGTAAACAACACCTGTGCCACGTGAAGGCAGTGAGTAAGACTTCCCTGGCAGAGGCTATATACGCGTGGTCATGTGAGAGTATTTCGAGAGGGAGAGCGGACTCTCCCCACTCTCGGCCGTACCAGGGCATATGTACGTCCAAAAGCGTATATATATATATATATATATATATATATATATATATATATATATATATATATATATATATATATATATATATATATATATTGTTATTTAAAACCGTTGCTATTCCAATTTTCTCCGTCTGTAACTTTATATTATTATTATTGTATCTTAATATTACACTTTAATACGAATAGTTATGAGCATTTGAAAGGAAACCATGAAACAAATTGAATCCTTTATTTTACCTCAATTGTTGCTTTGACGTTTATTCAAATAATATACTATCTGTGAGGTTACAGTGAGTAAAACAAATAATATGATCTTGATATTGTATTCTTAAAACTGTAATTAAGCTATATTTCACCCCCATACACACACACGACTATTCTACTTATAGTTTGAGTCATTTAATAATATAGGAGCTTGTAAATATAAATTAAATGCTCAGTAGTTGTCTTGACAACTTGAAGTTGTCTAACAACTTTATTTATGTAATCCTTCAGTGTAATTAAGAAAGGTAGAGAAGTTTGGTAATGATTATGATGAAGTAACGTAAAATATGATCTATCGAACACTTCTAGTGGACGTTTAAAGTAGTAGTAGTAATGGTAGTTGGATATTAGTCTGTTGGACCGAGATTAAAATTTCTGCGACTATTAACCATACCTCCTCAAAACTCAAATGAACCACATCTGTATTGATATGTGAAGAATCTAGAAACTATAAATTATTCTTAAATTACTTCAAAGGCAAATTATTTGAAAGATTATCAAATATCTACGTTAATAAAACATTACAATAATTGACTCATGATTTCAATTATTGAAATTACTACAATCTCCATAAAACCCCTTCTGTATTCTAATAAAACATTAGTTAATTGTCACTTTACAGTAAATTAAGATTTATGTCTTACGGACGGTTATGAACTTACCACAAAATGTAAAATATCTACCTTTCATATTCATTCTTAGTACTACTAATGTTCCATCTGTGAACATCAAGGTTTCACTACTGTCTCCTCTTTAAAACAAATCAGATTTTTTTTATCGAAAATTTATAGTCGAACGGGGAAATACTAAAAGAAGTTATAGTGTTTTATGGAAGCATAGTGAATCAGTTTCTATAAGTTAAGGTATTGTATTAACTGGTGAAACGCATGAATGTTATCATTTTTATGTGTTGATTTAATTGAATTCCTGACATATTTTATGCGTACACAACTATTAATTCACAAATAACTGTTTTATAGCAACCTACAGAAAAGTTTAACTAATTTTTAATCATTAGATCAGTGAATAGTACATTAGAGTAGAATCATTTTTACTTTTAATCAGTTAGCAATCAATGTCTGTAGGTACGCTATACGCTTTGCACCATGTAGGTGCAAAGTACTTCTACAAGATTGGCAGGATTCTAACCCTGTACTCACCCTGGATGATAAGCAGATAGAAGTAGTCGAGAAGTTCGTGTATCTAGGTAGCTGCATAAGTGCTGGTGGTGGTGTGAGTGATGAGATCAATGCACGTATAGTGAAAGCCAGAGCGGCTTATGCCAATCTGGGCCATCTTTGGCGCCTTCATGATGTTAGTCTGGCTGTAAAAGGTCGGATCTACAACGCGTCGGTGAGAGCAGTTTTGCTCTATGCTTGTGAAACCTGGCCTCTCCGAGTTGAGGATGCTAGACGACTCTCTGTGTTCGGTCATCGTTGTCTCCGAAGGATTGCTGACATCCAGTGGCAACACCATGTTAGTAATGCAGAGGTTCGGCATCATGTGTTCGGGCACAGAGACGATAATGCAATTGGTGTCCCCATCATAAAACATCGAGAGATGGTGCAACACAGTGGCTAGAGACGTTATCAGATATGGCTCAGAATAGACGCCAGTGCCGTAACTTCCTTAATTGACAGAATTCTTCTGGTTGCACCTTTATGTTTCCCCCACTATTATATTATTATTACGCTACCATACACTAATCTGTGGTCGTTATTGTTCAAATAAATAATTATCACTTGAAATACAGTTTAATTAAATGTGTTTTATTTGTGTCAATTGTAAGAAAAGTTGTTTTTCTTAACAGTAAATGTGTGTCCACTGAATAAGAACTTCAGTAAAACCTCGTAGACAGACAGTAATTGTTCAAGTAGTTTATTAATTTGCGTGAATTTGTATGCATTACAATGTTGCAACAGTTTATTTAAATCAGAAAAATGAAGACACAACCAGTCAGTCAGCTACAACGTAGGACTAGGCACATATATGCATCGGTCCAAGTTGCCATACCTCATTAGCACAACAGCATGAACACCGAATTCATAGGAGTAGTCACTTCAATGGTATTAATGTATAAGAGAAAGATGGCATATAAGAATATAGTACAGAAAGAAAGATATAAAGCAACTTTAATCTCATAATTTAAAGGAAGACAAAGAGTGTATACACCGACACCACAGTGATCGAGCCATGTCATCCAGGGTCTCTAACCATTGATTACAATAGTCACGTGGACCCCGAGCAAGTAGTCAGCATCTACTAACATGGCTAAGAGTAGAAGTTAATAACTTCAGGGACTGATGCCACGTTTTAATTTGGCCGTCCTTAACTTTCTTCCAACTATCATCAACACCAGTCAGCATTGTGCGTCATGGGTAAAACCACTAATATCTCTATTATTAACTAGTTAACAACGATACTTAATTACAAGTGTCATAGATCGTTCGAGAAAATATTAGTCGATTAATCAACGTTAACTTATTACTTTAAATACTAATTTAAGTAGATAAAACGAAACGGATTGATGATATGGGACAAAATATCAATCACATAATAGACAATATTAAAAGTATGAAGATGAACATCTGAAAGGATAAATAGGATCATTTTTTTAAATGGTTATACGTATAACAGGTTTTTCTTCGAAAACGAAAAACACTACTTAAAGACATATACACAGTATAGAAAGTGTAGAAATTGTTTACATATTTTCAACGTTCAATTAAAACATGTACAAAGAAAGAGAGAGAGAGAGAGAGATAGTTAAACCTGTTTTCACGATAATTATTATATTGTTCTATCATTAAAAGGTAAACATGATCTACATGAAGTTCCATCTTGTATGAATCATACCATTGAATTCGATTGACTGAGTCTGCGTACAAACTATAAAGTATTAATATTTATTTGGGAAAAAAAGCGTGATTTAGAAATAGTATAGATGAATCGAAGCACAACACTCGCTTATTTAAAACAAAAATAGTTAGTACAAAAAGGAATAAAAGTATGGCCCATGCAAAAAGAAATGACGATTTTTGGATGATTGAATCGATACATTCCAAATATTTACCATTTTGAGACATGTCTAGTAATGTCAGAAGCTAATGAAATGAATTGTAGTATGATAGTGAATCTTTTTACCCAACAGAGATCTCCGTGGATCAGCAGAAATACATCACGGAGTGATTGTCTATTTTTCACTAAATACGATATCCAACAAATAACGCTCTGCATAGAAGTCATTGACAGGTCTGTGTATTCAAACCACTTTATCAATATTTAAATTTATTAGATCGCGATTTCTACTATGCATCAGTAGACGTTCCCAAAACTTAGAATAATCTACACTATCTGCTAACGGTATGCCAAGAAAGACAATGGTCGAACACTTGGGACTCAATCCAAAAACCAATGGTCATATGAACTGGTGCCACTTTTTTGGCTCAATTGTCCCAGAAAATAACAAACATAAAAGTAAATAAACTCAGCTAATTATAAATAGAAACTGTCAAATAAAACAAATAATTATCAAGAAATAGATATGTACAGGAAATATCTTGTCGACAAACCCTCATCTCCGATAAGGAGTAACCTTCAGCCGTGTTTACTAAGTGAGAAGAATCCAAAATTGTAACAAAATGCAATCTCAAATATAAGTTATAAGTAAGGATTTAGTGTAAGGTCAACTTTCAACACATTTTGGTCACATCATTTGACGAACTTAAATGCCCTGGTATGGCCGAGAGCGTGGAGGGTTCGCCCTCCCTCTCGAAATACTCTCACACGGCCACGCGTATATAGCCTCTGACAGGGAAGTCTTACTCACTGCCTTCACGTGGCACAGGTGTTGTTTACGAAAATGAGAGGACGAAAAGCGAATGTCCGGAGCTTTAACCGGATCCCAACTCAATGATGCACATGGGCTCCAGTATCCTGCAGGAACAAGTGGCGTGTGAATCAATCGTTGGTCACCGGCTACCATGGGACTGCATCTCCTTACGATGCTGCACTGCCTTGTGATCCAGACGTTCAGGTCCAAGGCTCCGGGTGTGGTCCCCTAAGAAAACCACCTGCTTCAGTTTGGGCACCCGGGCAGTATCTCAGCTCACACACTAAAACATGAGTGTAGCGCATATATATTTGGTGCCTCCTTGTACCAATATTTATGTGTTCAAATAAATAAATAAATAATTTCTCGCCATAGTTTGTGTTCATCAATAATTCCTCAGTTTACAAAGTCTAATCATTACCATCGATATATGATCGATTTGCTTGAATGTATTCTCAGTTTTATTGAGGTCATCAACAAGGGTCACATTACGAGACTGGTCGTTTTACCCTAGTTAGCGGGTTTATTGATGTTGGTGTTGCAAAATATTAGCACAGCGCACAAATCCATCAGTCTTATTTGAAAAATATTTTGTGTACGTTCAATAGAACACCGACAAGTAATCAACACGATTCACCATGTAGATAAATTGAAAAGAAGGGTCATATAGTCAATTAGTAAAAAAGAATTATTTATAAGAGATGTATTTCGTTTGGGAGAACCGAAATCAGACTGCATTTAATGAAAGATTTCGACTTTATGGCGTTAATTTTCACTCCACGGCGTTATGTATACAAACATGTACTAGATTTAAACTTCATCAACCTCTAGTTTTAATTATCAAGTTGTCTTCATTACACAACTGTGTATGTTATTGCTAATCGTTATTGTGGTGATGTGACAGATGAGATAGACCTAGATAGAATGGTGCCATCTTGATGTTAGTCTGATTACAAAAGGTCAGCTTTGCAATGCGTCAGTAAAACGTGGATTTTCCGAATCGAGAATGTTCTTTATCTCCCCCACTTTCCTTCCACATTACCTCCGAAAAATTATTCATACCAGATGCCAACCCCATGTAAGTAATGTTGAGGTTCAGCGATGTGTGTTCACGCAATCAATCGGTGTTACTACTTTAAAACATTGGTTTCGGTGGCTCGAACATCAGTTCAGAACTTCATTACAGAGACATTCACATTTTGGGTTATTTCTCGAAGCTAGGACTGTCTGAAGAAGGTGATGTCTGCTTTATGACATAATGTCGTTTTATGAAAGGAAAGCCCTATAGGACTGGGATTTGTTGATGGATCATGACTCTGAGGTTGGGATCTTGAAGCTGGTGGAAATTAGTGTGAAGAGACGGTACCAGATGACTTGGACTGTAAGACGGTGACGCTGTTAGTTTTCTCCTACATTCTTCACAGAAATAAAAGAAATCCACTTAACTGGAAGTCTTCCTTGGCTAGGTCTTCAACTGAACCATTTTGTTTTGTTGTACAATATTCATTTATACTTCTTTTTATCTTTGAATTTACTGTCTTTTTCCCTCTTTCCTCTTTGCAATGCTGCCTCTGTATTTATTAGCGCATCCGATTTTTCGTGCCTTTTTACCAGATTTAATGTGTAATAAATAAGAAACAGAGCTTACTAATCTTGGAGCTCACAGAAATCTGTAGAGCTTGGTCCTCTTCAACTAACTGAAGGAAGCTGTAGCATCACAAAATACAACGATTCTTGGGACATTAAAAGTGGGTTTTGAAGAAGTTATGAGGTAATGTAACTCACAAAACAAGTTAATGTGTTTGATTGTGAGCTAAACTATCTGTATGCACACTAAAGATACAACCCAGCTACCAAAACCAAAGTAGGTGAAGTGATGTTCGAATCTGCAACCCAATGGAAGAGATTTGAGTGCTGTTATAGTTAAATAACAATAATTCAGAACTTAAGCAGGTGCTTTTTTTTTAACTACATGAAGTACTTAGTTTCGCATTTCATAATATCTATTTTTAGTTAAAATATGAGGAAAAGAGTAGACACTCTTATGTGACCAAATTTATTTTGAGGCTGATTTGATTCTTAAGTAGTTTTAACTGCAGAATAACAGCTACAGATAAGTCTCCAGAATGAACTAGTGTTTTTGTCATTGGTCAAAGCTCGTAGTTCAAATAGGGGAATTACAATTATTGGTAAACTACTTGGTCAAAACCCGTTAGTCAATTTACTTAGCTATAATTATCTCTAGGTTAATCAAATGATCATTATCATACACATATGCATCGGTTCAAGTTCCCATACCACATTTCCATGGCGAGGTGAGATTATTTCAAAATAAATCCTATAGTAATGGCAAAAGGAGGATTGGACATACAAAAAGGAAAGAATATGTACAATTAGATTTCGGGACTCAGATTCTAGAGGAAGACAAGGAGTGCACTTTTGTCTTTGCAAGCGGTTTCGAGCGATGTCAAAGGATTTTGGAATGCTTGTTATAGAAGCCCAGGTTAATGACTAAACAATTAAGTACTCATCATAATCTGAAGCTGCTAGGTTTAGCAATGTATTAAGAAGAATATATTAGGTTTGGACAAGGAGCCTGTCTAGTAGTTTTCGATTTTTAGTCGAACTTTAACTAGTCAGCTGAAAATGGAAAATATTACGCTACTTTTACACATAGACTTACTCCATTAATCCCGGGAAGCCATAAGATCCAACCGATTACAGGAACACCATACAAAAATTTGATTGCCACTGGGATAAATTTACTACAAAATTAAAGTGTATATGATCATCATTTGACATAAACAACTTAGTATGTTATGGTTAGTATTGTATTAACACTTGGTAAAAAGAAGTTTACAGACGACAGTTAAGCAGGAAAGAAAAGTACTATGTGCTAGCTAGGATCTAGATAACACAATATCTTTTGCTGACTATAAGGCTTGAGAGAAATCCGGATAGGACAGTAAAAATTACTCACAAAGAGACTGTGTGAACCTCCAACAGTTACTCCTCGAACTGTGTGGTCACGCCCTTAGGAAGAAATGACAAACAATATCAATTCGATTCTTTCTCAGTATCACAAATATATCCTATGTTGTGACGGTTACTAGGATGTGGCAAGTACTCGATAGAAAGTAAAATCGTCGATAGTAAGAACTCAGGACTATAAGGATATATGCAGTTACCTCTTTGTAGTGATTGCTAGGCCTCTCATTGACATTATCTCTAATAAAAAAGGTGAGTGCTATTAAGATCTCTTCAAGCTTCTAAAAGCCAGATGCCTAGACCTAGCAATTGTAAGGAGTAGTTTCAGAGCCCAAGTAAGAATACTAAGTCAAGCTAAAAGGCTGGCGACTCCTGTTATTGATGGAATGGTAGACAGAAAAATTACTGCAATTAACTAGTGATGGAGTCTCGATAGAAGAATTGTTGTCTGAAGAAACGTGTCTGGACCTCGCTCACCGTCTATTGGGGACAAATTTGTGCTTTACTGAACGCAGAAATATCGCATAAGGACTACCTCATTCAACTCGGTTTGAAGGTAGGAATTTCAAGGACATGCTTGAGAAAACTAACTAGACACTTAAAGTAGCATGGAAATGATGGTTATCCCTAAGAAACCCGGTATGATCTAAAAACAGTTGCATGAACAGCATCGACATTACCTAGCGATCTAAATCAGAAGGTTGAGGAAAGTTCAATTCCAGTAGTCTCTAGTAAATAGGTTTGGAAACCCATCTAAACAACATGACTAGGATGAGGGCCAAAATAAGTAGAGTGAAAGTCTGACTGTCTATCAGTTGACCATTAGTCATTAACAGTCTATGTGTGAGATCTACATAAAGGGTTTAACACATAACGAAGAGGAAAAGCTATTACCTAATCTTAAACAATAGGAATAAGCAGGGCATAATGAATTGGCTCCAGAGGATTTCGATCATATTGGTAGGGCTGATAAGGATATTGAGTGCAGCTTGTAATCTGTGAGAGCGAAGACTACGCTCTGAGTAAATGATTCTAACAGTTCTACCGATGGAAACTTAATGTGTTCGTATAGACTTCTATGGGATAAGTTAACGATGTCCGTCTATCAGTAGATTGACAGCTTAGTCATGTTAACCTCAATATCGAGTTTGAGGTGGGTTTGGTGAGTTCTAATATTGAATAGAAAACGAATTAATCAACTGAAATGGCCCCCAAATGCCCTGGTATGGCCGAGAGCGTGGAGGGTTCGCCCTCCCTCTCGAAATACTCTCACACGGCCACGCGTATATAGCCTCTGACAGGGAAGTCTTACTCACTGCCTTCACGTGGCACAGGTGTTGTTTACGAAAATGAGAGGACGAAAAGCGAATGTCCGGAGCTTTAACCGGATCCCAACTCAATGATGCACATGGGCTCCAGTATCCTGCAGGAACAAGTGACGTGTGAATCAATCGTTGGTCACCGGCTACCATGGGACTGCATCTCCTTACGATGCTGCACTGCCTTGTGATCCAGACGTTCAGGTCCAAGGCTCCGGGTGTGGTCCCCTAAGAAAACCACCTGCTTCGGTTTGGGCACCCGGGAAGTATCACAGCCAACACACAAATATAATGAAAATGATATTCTCTGAAAACTCTATTCTCGCCGCGATTCACTGTCAAACAATTCACATTATTATTATTATTATTATTATTACTTACCACGTCATTTATTCACTCTTTTATTTCCACTCGTGTCACTGCCTGGTTGAAAATTGTATGTTACCATCGAATAAGAGTACTGAAGTAGTTTTTCTGAAACCACGTGCACCATTCAAACTGGCTGCCTTCAACGTTCGCACACTTATGCAGGTCGGACAACAGATAGGGCTGGCTATGTCTTTGGAAAGTCTTAATATTGATGTGTGTTGTCTATCCGAGACCCGTATTCAAGACTCTGGTGAAGTACTACAAATTCGCTCTCCATCTGTCACTTCAAAAAACTTGTTTTACGTGCGTCTTTCCGGGGACCCTGTGGCATCTCCGTCTGATCTTGCTGGCGTTGGTGTCGCATTAAGCGCTAGAGCTGAGGCAGCACTAATCGACTGGATCCCCGTTAACAGTCGGTTATGTGCTGTTAGATTAGAAAGTACCATCAAAGTGAGAAATCGGTGTGAGAAACGATGTCTTTTCGTCGTCTCCGCCTATGCCCCGACAGGTTGCAGCCCGGATGCAATCAAGGATAAATCCTAACACCAGTTAACTGTTCTTCTCCAGAAAGTGCGTTCGATAGATATTGTAGTACTAGCCGTAGACTTGAATGCTCAGGTCGGGCGTCTAGGCACAGAAGAGAGTCGTTTAGGTGGCCGATGGGAACTTGTTGGTCGCAGAACAGATAATGGGGAACGTCTACTGCAGCTATGCACAGACCACAACCTGTTTTTGGCTAGCACTAACTTTCGGCACAGTCATCGCCGATGTGCCACATGGTGTCCCCCTTTTGCATCTCAAGCCTGGACTCAGATTGATCACATCGCGATCAGCTACCGCTGGCGCGGTTGTGTACAAGACTGTCGCTCCTTTTGGAGTACCTATCTGGAATCTGATCATGCTCTGGTCTGCGCCAATCTTACCTTACTTTTCAGTGGACAACGAAGTGATCGCCACCAAAGGATTGACGTTAGCAAGCTGGTTGCAACTTCTGTTGCCAGTAAGTACCGAACCGAGCTAGCTTCTAGGCTAGCTACCATTCCACCGAAAAGTATAGATGAGCATTGGTTGCGATTGCATGACGTCATGAAAATGGCGGGTAAAGTCCGTTGTGGGTTCACGAAACGTCCCGCTTGTAAGCACTGGGTTTCTTCTGGTTCCTTACAACTCATTGAAGCCCGTCGGTCAGTGTATGACACGGTGTCGTGGTATGAAAGAAAGCTGCAAAGGGCTGGCTTGTGTTGGTCCTTCACGACTCCTTGGTTGGGGTCCGAGAGATGGTGTAACACAGTGGCTAGAAACGTTATCAGATATGGCTCAGAATAGAAGCCAGTGGCGATCCTGCTGTAACCTTCTTTTACTTTCTTCATAAAAAGTGGTTGTATCTTCCTTAACGGTAAGATTTCTTCTGAGTGTACCTTTTCGTCTCCCCCATTATTGCTCTCTTTTTTTTATAATCCCCTATGTTCCTTACCTTTTTTTCCCTTCTCCTTAAATTCTCATTGTTTTGTGTGGCCCATATATATTTGGTGCCCCCCCTGTACCAATATTTATGTGTTCAGATAAATAATAAATAATAAACTGACATGACATTGAGCTTTGCATAAATGCTTCAGCTTTAACTGTCACTGATCAACAACTAATAATGCTCATATATATTTGATCCCTTTTTGTAGTCTGAATTAGATGAACAGGATTAGTTACATAATAGCATGAGTTCATCATAGTCTCACGACTTTTCTCCACCTATAAACAGCCCGAAACTTGGAAGCAATTTTTCAAAGCATATAAACATACTCAGCGACCTGAATACGAGGTTCAGTCAATGACAATAGAAAGTAACAAAATGAATGAATAGTAGAAAGTTGAAAATAATAATACGTCAATGGCTTTTGCCATCTAACGTCACCTATGGAGAAGGCGATATATCCGTCTATCAATTAGAGGACGAGTATACTGTGCAACAGTTCATTGTTATACTTTGGCCATTAAGGGCAGATGATACTCGTAAGTTACTAGTACTTGATAACAGACGTCTTAGAAATATTGCTCGCATCTGCTGGAATCACCGGGTAAGTAACAGTGAGGTTACAAACAAGGTGTAAGGGAATGGTGGCAAATCAGTTGATGTGGTTGTGTATCATCATCGACTGAGATGGTTAGGCCACGTAATACACATGCCTGAACACCGATTATCAGATCGCTCAACTTTGACTATTGCAAAAACAAAACGTAGCATCAGTCCTTGAAGTCACTAACATCTAGTCACAGCCATTTTGGTAGATGCATATTACTTGGTTGGTGTCTGGGTGACTATCGTAACCAATGGTTGGAAACTCTGGGTAAAAATGCTCAGAACCGATCACAATAGCGTAGGTGTATACACTATTTGCTTTCCCTTCAACTGTGAGATCAGAAATGCATTTTCTTCTACGTACTAATTTCTTCCTGTATCGCATCCTCATTTGAAATCTTTTTCATTACCACTGCAGTTACTTCTTTTACGAATTCGGCTTTATCTTGTTGTGCTAACGAGGTATGTCAACTTTGATCAGCGCATATATGTGCGTGGTCCTTCGTTGTAGATGATCGACCGGGTTATAACCATGTGCATTGCTGACGAAAATTGGTCATAAATTTAACGGGTTGCGTGAGCACCACTTAGACACTCCCTATATTCTCAAACAGATTGGGATTAACATTAGGTGTTCGATTTCCAGATAACTAGGCAAGCACCAACAGCTATAAGCTGTTGATCAAAAGACTGTTCATAGCAAAATCTAATTACCGGTCGTAATAAGAGAAAATGCACAACTAAGAGAGTACTTCTCGCACTATTACCTGAATAAATTTATCATTCCATAAATTTCCAACAACATTCCTATGAAGGGGAAGCCAAAAAGTACAACGAATATGCCCCCGAAGAAGAAAACTGCTCCCTTCAAACTCGTACGGCGAAAAAAGAACGTGCAAGCCTTCTGTAATCCAATAAGGCATCCTATTCCACCCAAGAAAAGAACCTTGAAGGAGTAGTCTAGAATTGTATTGAACACTTACATTACCTAGAGCCAACAGAGCACCGTCGAAGAAAAATAGGACACCAAGACAAAGAAAACCCACTCCAAAAGCAAGCAAACCTAGGCCGATCTCTAAGAGGAAATAAAAATGATGATGAAACTACTCTGAAAATCTGAAGAGTTATTGTAACCCAGCATTCTAAACGAACCGAAGAAATGCTCAGCCCGTTTACACAGCTGAACGTGGATGTAGTTTCTTCGAGGCCGCTTCCATCAACTCAACCTTGAGAACATAGAATGTGTCCTGTAAAACAAAACGTTTATTGCTTGTTGATAAGTCTTCAGTCTTCAGTAATAAGGATAGTAGGTTAGTGAACCTGTGTTAATTCTAACAGGTTTCCTTCCATTTAAGGTCCAGTTTCTCTTTGAAAATATTCACTGATGGGGCTGATATCACTTGATCGGGCAAAGCGTTCCAATCATTGACTACTCGATGAGAAAAACGGAACCCCACCTTGAGTTTATTAGATCGTGGTTTGTGAACCTTCTAGCTATGACCTCAGAGATTATTAGTGCTAGACGGAGCAAAAAGATAAGACATATTAACACCCAACTAAGAATTAAAGATACGAAATGCCAGTATAAGGTCACCTCGAATCCTACGATACGACAAGGGGAAAAGGTTTAGGCGTTTTAAACGCTCATCGTAAGGGGGTTTAGAAAGACCCTTCACCAATTTCGTTCCCACGCGCTGGACACGCTCAAGTGAGGTAGTATCCTTTATCAGACATGGGCTAGCTGCTTGAATACAGTACTCTAAATGTGGTCTTACATAGGTGGGATATAAAATTCGAAACATTTCCTCGTCAAAGGATTTGAACTCTCGGCGAAATGACCACAACGCACGAAAACCTTTGACAGCGGCTGCGTTGCAGTGCGTAGTTGTTTTTTAAATCATGACTTATTATTACTCCTAAGTCTTTATGTTCTTGAACGCATGGAAGAGGTTCACCATCAATAGTATAATGGTAACTATTGCCGTGACCGATGTGCATTGGCACACTCTTTCTAGAATTGATTTCTAAACCTCAATCTCGAGCCCATCGAACTAAATCATCTAAGTCAGCTTGAAGATCCAGATGATCAGCCTCACCTCTTATTGCTCTCCATATTTTGACATCATCCGCAAATAATAATGTCGACGACCTAAGCAACAGCGGTAACTCATTTACGTAGAGAAGGAATAGCAGAGGGCCTAATATGGTGCCTTGGGGTACACCACTTTTGACCGGCTTCCAGTCGGATAGCGTCCCATTGACCCTAACTCTCTGTCTGCGGTCACATAAGAAGTTTCCTATCCACTCCTGTACAGCACCTATTATTCCGAAGCTTGTGAGCTTCTGCATAAGACCTAAGCATGAAACCTTGTCAAATGCTTTGCTAAAATCTATGAGTATAACATCGACAGACAGACCTTTATCTAAGGCTGCTGTCCAATCCTCTCTCGCAATAAGTAATTTAGTCAAGCATGAACGCTTATCACGAAATCCATGTTGCTCAGGAGCTAACAGATTGTGTGAATCTATGTGGCTTAGCAACCTAACCCGAATTATCTCTTCAAGTAACTTAACGACAATGCTAGTCAGACTGACAGGCCAGTAGTTAGATACGATCTGTCTCTGACCGTCCTTAAATATAGGACTGACAATAGCATCTTTCCAATCCCTAGATAGTTGAGCGAGTGAAAGGGACATGTTGAAGAGTGTCGCGGGCGGTTTTGAAATAATGTCCGCAAGAGATGACAGCAGTCGTGGATGTAACCCGTCAGGACCCGGTATCTTACAAGGTTTGAGGTTAATTATTAACGGAAGGACAGTTTCTTCAGTCACCTGTACAGATTCAATGGCTGGTATCTCGGCGTGATTGAAACAAGTATTTGTCACAATAAACGTAGAGTAGACTTCGCTAAAGTAGTTTGAAAATGTTTCATCTTTGGCTCGATCTGATTCAGCTAGTAAATCTGAATTATCGTGTAACAATAATGGGGGAATACTATCACTACGTTTTATTTGCCGTTTAACATACGAAAACAATCGTTTTGGACAAGTACGGCTATCATATACCAACTGTCGTTCGTAAGTAGTACGGGATTTAGCTATAGTTTTCTTACAAATATTCCGGAGTTTTTGGTACTCACGCTTAAAAGTTGCATGACCTGTCAACAAGAATAAGTCCCAAATGTGTTTCCTATGCTTTAACAGATTACGGGTTTCCTTATTAATCCATGGAGGGCAATGCGATAGCGTACGTGCTGACCATGGGATAAACGGCGACGTTACGGACTCGAATGTAGCCTTAAACGTAATCCATTCGTCTTCGATCGATCCATCTGCGTCAACCGATCAATCAGTAGAGATCGCACAGTCTCTGATTGCCGGAATATTAGCCCGCCAGATATTGGGACGGGGTGGAGCAGATACAAATCGTATACCATGTGTCCTAAACTTAAAGTGAAGTACAGCGTGATCACTGTTCACTAGTGAGGGAAGCTGCTGAATATCAAAGACATCCTCACAGTGGTGGGTGAGAGCGAGGTCCAGCAGTGACGGATCACGTTTCAGATCAATATGTGTCGGTTTAGTGATACATTGGACAAGTGCACACTGAATAACTGTTGATAAAAGTTCGCTATCGAAAACTCCACCTGTTGCTGCAAGCTCTATCCAGTTTATGTGTGGAGCGTTGAAGTCCCCAATGATGAGGCAACATTCTGCCATACTCCAAGAACAGATGTGTCTTAGGATAAAGTCATCAGCAAGACAACACGGACTACGGTATATTCCGCCTATAGTCACTAACCCATTTCTAGATTTAATCTTACAACATGCTACCTCACATGTACCACTAACATAAACCTCCGATATGATTGATTGTATACGAAAGTGGTCCCTAATGTATAACATTATGCCTCCCCCCTTGCGGCTTAAAACTCTATCACTTCTAATACAGATATAGCCTGCAATGATGGGAGAACATTCTATATCTACGGTGAACCAAGTTTCTGTAATGACAATTATATCGGGACTTAATTCATCCACCATCAGACTTAGCTCGGACGTTTTATTCCTAAGACTACGGGCGTTCGTGTAGCACACCCTTAAGGTGTTTTGGTAATCGTTCGTTCTACCCATACAGGCCTCGGAAGCATTGGCTTCCAAGACCTGACTACCCGAAAACCCTTAATGGTAAGGTTAGTTTCGCCATTTAACTTGCGAGTTCTTAATTCCGTAAGAGCATTCTTCCACATGATTCGATCCTTAAGCGGCCAATCTGGTCGGATACGAATATTTGAATCACGAATTTTTTGTGCGTTTTTCAATAATATATCTCTTTCTTCAAAACTCCCTAGAACCAGCTTCAAGATCCTTCTTGGTTGGGTCTCGCCTCCAACCCATTTACCGAGTCGTATCACTTTCGTGATATGTACTCCTGAAACCTCTTCAGGTAGTACGTTTCTTACCACGGATTCTACTAACTTATGATCATGTGCATGTCTCTTAGCAGGATCGTTGTCTATCGACTCCTCTAGATTCCAAATAATTAAGCTAGGGAGTGGTTTAGTTTCTTTTGGAATCGTGTTTACAGCTATCGATCGTGACCTAACATCCTGTATAGTAACTACTGGTATCTTAGGATTTGTTTTTATTGTAACAGAGTCATTGGAGTCGAGCTAGTGACTCACAACAATGTTTGACGAGGCTTTACTTTGGGACTTTGGTGGAGTAGTCTGAGAGTCCACCAAAGACTTATCAAGTAAACGGTACTTACTTTTAACTGTCTTTCCTACTCTTCTGCGTTTACGCGTCATCCATGTTCCATCAGCCGTAGCATCTACATCAGAACTGCTCGGGACAATAATTGTTTTATCTGGATCACCAGTTGCTGCTGTAACAACATGGCCACCAACATCTAATGAGGTGTCACTCATTGATTGTTTCGAGGTAAAAATTTTGATCTCGGGTTGCGCAGTTAGATGTCTGACTTGCGCCGTGACAGCACTTACGACATTAACGCGATCTTCGCTATCAGCACCAATATTGCCAGTGCAGCCCTCGTCAACCTTCTTATTAGCCAACACCAGGAGGCTAATGGCTTCCTGGATGAGTGTTGTTTTGTTTGAGCAACAAAAACTACAAAGCCAATGAGAGTTGGGCTTCGAGAACCTTTTATATGCAGCGGGGCTTAGTCGGGTGCACATCTTGTGGAACCACTTCCTACACTCATCACATTGCATCCCTTCCTCCACGGGGAATAAGCAACATGGTTGTCCACATTTATGAGCCAATTTGGCCATCTTGAAAACCAAATACAATAGTGATACAAAGAGGATATGTAAAAAATACTAAAACCTTGACTAAATTATCAAGTAAAAGTCGACCAAATATGCTTTGATGCAATAAATACACAAAAGCAGAATCAAAACACTCAATACAATATCACTTTAACTGGAGTAGATTCAATTATAGTGTAAACAGTAGTTTTGATGCGTAATTTACGATCAAGTAACTCAACGAGAAACAATACCACTGTCCCTTTAGAAAGCGCGCACAAGTTAGCACCATTCAGATAATTTACTTAATGAAGCTCGGGAGTAGACAGATTTTTGAAATAAGTAAACGAATAGAAGAAATACGTCATTATGACCATTCAAACAGCAGGTCAACTCGTTTTCTTTCAACTGATGAGTATGGCTTTATAAAAAATGATGGATGGTGTCTAGTTGTCGAAACCAGGACTCTCGTTTCGTCCCATTTAAGACTCATCAGCTGGATTTATCTGCGTCTCAGAGTTGATCTTCGTTCTGCGACTCGAATCCAGTATCGTTCGCTTTATCCACCTCACTGCTGAGTCCTGATAATCATCTGCCTGTATAACGGGGTGGAATTTAAATTGACTAGGCGTTGTTTGTTTGTATCTTCCAATTTTTGCTTAAGACTGTAAGTAATCAGTCTCTTGTTGGTATTTGTGCACTCTATGTGGATTGCCTCGTATTGTCTTAAGGTCTAAGTATATAACGCGATGGCGCTTGAAGTGAATGTTGCTGAGTTCCATTCCTAGAGTGAGCATCAACTCTAAGATGCAGTTAAACCCAGCTGATGAGTCTCACATTGAAATAAACGCAAGTCCTGGATTCCACTGCTAGCCACAATCAACCTTTGCCACTACTTATGACAATATCGAGGTGATTCGCACAGGATTGACACGTGCCAATAAGTTAATGACCGACTGCAGTCCTAAACAAAAACAGGGAATACACAGACAAGCAACACCAAGTGAATTGACTTAGAATAGCCATGTTAAGCAGTTTTCTTTGTAATATTTCAGTCATAAAATAAGCCACGAGATTCTAGAGATCACTAATTAACCCTTTTTTCAGAAAATTATTACGAAGGATAAAACTATAAGAACTGAATTACAAGACATCCAATATGAGGATTAGTTGTCGAAAATTTTGATATTAAATAAATCTGAAATTCTAAGGTTTAAATACTCTTAATATGTATGTAGACCAAAGCCTTGTAGTATAAATCTCCCATAAGCGGAATAATAAATTTACTACGGTCAACTAATTATTCAAAATAATTAGCGTTAAACTTACGTAAAAGACATCATGATAACCGTTCAAACAACAGGTCATCTCGTTGTTTTCCCTAATAATTAGTATAGTTTCATACACATAGTTTCCATTATTATCTTAATGAGAGCAGGAACGGAGATATAATGCAAACTCCACGATCTGATTTATACTCCAGGTTGCACAACTCTACTGGGAGAAATTCAGGGCGAAGAGATTTGATTTCTTTAATCATATCATTGTAACGTTTGATGAGGAACTTAGAATATTCTGGCAGACCATAAAATTTTCCAATCTGCACCTTCTGTCGTTTGAAATTCACTTTTGGTCCATAATCCTAAAACAACGTTTGGCAACAAACTCATATGAACAGACTGAATGTCAACATTTCAAAGCAGTAACATCACATTAAGAAAAACACTGACAACATTGTTAGCTGAAACATAGCAGAACCTGTTACGTGAACCCATTGACTTAATTAGGTGATTTGGAAACCACAGGTAGTGAAGAGATTATTAACGCCAAAATAACACAATGAGGAAGTGATAATACGAGCAGATATAATGGTCATAAGAAGATGTGAAGAATTAACACTAAAAAGTATTCTATTGCGGAGTAAGAATACAAAATTGTCAATAGCCTTTGTTACTTGTGAATCACAAGCACGGCTTTTTGGTGACTGTATAGTTGCATCCATCTCAGAACATTTCCACATTTCAAGTGATATTTATAAGTATGTGTAACTACGGGCCAGTGAAATTTCACTGAGACTTAGCCAAATCATCCGTCAGTTGGGTCATTGAATATCCGACAAATCATCGATCCTTGTCAATGTCAAGGACAACCAACGCGTATCAGTTAGTCGTATGTCATGGACTGGCCCATGCGGTGGTGGTCTTACTTTTGCTTGTATCTATTTTAACTAATATGTTTCTGTTATAACGTCCTCTGTGTTGCGCAATCTTCAAAGCACCCATAGTACCTTGATATGTCAGCGGAGAAGACTACGTAAGGTGTTGACCACGATGTGTGTCCTCGACGTAGGCTGTTTCGTCACACCTTACCCGTCTAATTCAAGCAGACCTCCAATCATTCGACATAGATCATCTATGCTGATGATTTACATTATCAATAAAGAAACTCTCTGATGTCACGGATTATGAAGCCTTAAATTTCACTTATCACTCTGACAAATCCTAAGCACGTTTTTCAGCTGCTATAGTTTAACGATGTAGTATCTATCTGGCTGTTCATGATCATAATATTCACCACAAATGTGCTAACACAGATCCGACATGCATACTATATATTCCGACAGTCATTGGACGGCAAACCAGTTTGCACTGCAGACTGTTTATTAGTGCAACTTTTACCAGCAAAATATCCAGATCTCACTTGAGAAACTTGTCGCAGTTGTAGACATGTTTCACACAGCAAACAATTGTGGAAGATGACATAAATCCAAATGTCATCCTTTAAGGTGGACTACATCGCCATTATCGTTTGAAGCACGGCAGAGAACTAATGAAGACTAAGACGTCTGAAACTGGTACTAGTTGCATTGCCACTACAAGTTTAGATGAACTGTAAAGGGCAGTGGACACATTCCTGTCGCAATATGGAAATGCTGAAAATTCAGTAACAAGACGCACCCTATTGAGAGAGGATTCTCGTCTGAATATATGACGTGTTCAGTGTCTGTAAAAGTTACATACTATCTTGGAAGTGATCTTCGACCACTAAAGAAAACGGTGGTGAAGAATGTTGGAAAATTGCTAGTTCTAATTCTGGAAACCAATGATATAAGTACATACAACCTACATGTCGATCAAATGCAATTCCAGCAACCATACGAGTATGTTCTGATTTCTATCGATAATTCTAATTCTAATGGTTACATCCTAAACTGTACAGAGTCTGTGTAGTCAAACAGACACACGATGAAAATACGTACAACAGATTACAGGTATCCAGATTTCTATTTTAGCCGTGACGATTGTGGCTGTACGAACTGGGTAGTTCTGAGCATTACTAGTTAGCACACCAAATTCGGTTACTTCTGAATATCACGAAGTATCAATCAAATACTCACATTCGTCATTTTCTAAAACATACTGATACCCGACTATAGTTGTATTTCTTGATCGTGAAGAGCTATTCGACTCTGTTTGTCGAGAAGACATTAGAGTAGAAGTAGTAGGAAGGAAGCTAAGGGCCGTTTAACTAATCTGTACAGTCGTCCACTGTTCATCTAATCTATGTTCGTCTGTGTAGACTACCTGGTTGTGGCCCCTAAAATAACTGCCATTAGTGATTGGGTGATATGGCTTAGAATTAGCAGTCACAGTGGGGCAGATGCACTCATCCTTTATTTTCCCTCAGACTCCTAGTTTCAGTATGCGTTCATGCATAGCGCTCCATTCCCTCTAGTCGGACCACATTGTGAATGTTTGTTGTAGATAGTCATTTAACTTGTCAACTTCATCTCTCTGTGCTGATGTTGGATGGTAAGTTGGGTTACTGCACATTTATCCCAGGTTCTATGTTGATTATAACTGACTGAGTCAATACACAAGAGGAATAAGACTCGACACCTACATTGAGTCGGTCAGTCAGCTACAACGTATGACCAGGCACGTATATGCATCGGTTAAAGTTGCCATACCTCACCTACACCGAATGAACACTAATGTTGAGTAACATAAATAGACTGTTAGAGATCTTATAAATTTATCACATGTTTCACTTCCACTAGCTATTTTACATAGCGCGCTACTGCACTACGAATACCTCACTAGCGGAAGTTCAGTGGTTAAAGAAGTTGATTTTTAACTATTTGATCGAAGGTGGCAATTAAATTTCAATCAGATTATTTTGTTAATCTAAGAAGTACTGCGAACAATCTGCATAAGTCTGTCTCTCAAAATCGCTCCACTGTTTTGTGGATTGCAAATTTACACTAATGGCTCGTGAAGTGGTCTCCTAAGAAAAACACGTGCATCGGTCTGGCCGACAAGATTGTGTTAAGTGATTTATGAAGCGTATATATATTTGGTGCCTTCTTGTACCAATGTTTGTATTTAAATAAAACATAAATAAACCATATATCAGCTCAGTTGATGTTTAGTTCACGGATATTTTGCAACCTTTTATGGTTTAATAAATAGGTGTACGACGAAGTACCAAATCTAGTGTCGCAAAGTACTGATGGGAATTAAAGTATTTGCAAATATTTACTAAGAGCTATTTACACCATTCAGATCTTTACTCAGAAATGGAGACTGAACAATAGTACAAATAAGGTTGGACGAGCACTCACAATTCCACTGAATATTTTTCCTGGAACAACTGTTTGAAGACTGTCCGAATGTACTTCCGTTGGTTGTGTGGGCTGATAGTTTTCAAACACACGTAGTCGTTTTTCTTTCGCAAGTCTTTCAGCTATTTTATAGGCTTCAGCAGCACCTGGAACGCTTACTAAGTTTAGGTTCCAATCAATACAGTGAGCAAGACCATGACGCAGCAACAACTCAGCTATATTTCCATTTGGGTGGAGGATGCTTCCGACGAAATTTTGATTGAATACGGATTCCAACAGTATAGTAACGTCTCTCTGTAGCAGTCTGGATTCGGTAAAGAATAGCGCATCGAGACCCCACGCGTCAGGAACCTATAAACAATGAAACAACGATATGTCAACTCACAATTTTTCCGTCCTCGTAACGTATCGATGGCGATTTAATTCCTGACATTGTGACAGTAAGGTATACAAACGTATTTGGGTTTTCATTAAGGGATTCAGGCAGAATGAAGACTTGTACAGAGCAACCATCTCGAACATTTTCGACAACAGCTTTAAGTGGTCGGTTTTTGTAGCTCTCAAAGAAGCTGCGAGTATTCTCGACTGACCAGAGAATTTCTCTTGTAACAGGGAGGTTGGGAGACCAACGACCCTTACCAAGTGATTTTGCTTGTTCTTGAGCAGTTACAAGTTGCTGGTAAATTTTATTTTTGGCAGCTACTGTCGGATTTAGCTTTCTCACTTCAGCCAAACCTTGTTCCACCAAGGACAGAGCAACATTTTCTCCACTGATATTTTTCCCTGATGCAAGGATAAATAAACTAGCTTAAAACGTACCAACATACACACATCCATATTTGCGACCGGATGGCTGTTCTGTTTCGATAGAATAGCAAACTTCTTTCCCAATTAAAAGAGTACGAACAAACTCTCTGGCTTCCCAGGCAAACGGATCTTCTGGTGTTCCAGTGGGGTTTCCCGTCGAAGGCTTACGAGCAACGCGACCGCATGATACATTGGACAAAATAATGGTTCGTTCTGGAGGAGGCCCATCTATGGGCCTGTCACGTATTATAATAGTATCTCCTGATAAAACCTATAAAACGAAAATATCGATATTGAGAAAACCTAAAATTGCATTTTGTATGTTGGAAACTATTGAACTACTCAGAAAATATTGTTATTATTATGAACAAATCAGTGTATGAGCGACGTACTTGTTTCACTATTCCCAAGAAATATGTGGTTGTGCTGACTGATCGTGCCTCTTCTTTATTGTTCACGAGAGAAGACATAGTTAAGACGATACTCTCCTATGATAATAGTAACAAACACGTGGCAACACACAAACTGAATAATTCACGACTATGTATGATGAATAAAACAAACATTCGCGCTAGTTTCAAATGGCTCAAAAGGCTGTGGACAAAATAGAAGAAGCTCTCGCTTAACGGGCTTCCGTGTCTAGTGGCAGTGGATCACCAGTACCTCCAGGGAGGAACCTAAGTATATGAACGATGAAAGAGGAAGAAGGAACTGGTAAATCATGGTAAGATACTGTCCTTGGTCCTTAAGAATAGGTCAAGTTTCATCTTAAAGGACTCCTAAGAAGTAGCTAGGACTAGCTCAGCTGTCGGCGGATTCCAGTATTTGACAACTCTTGAGTAGTGGAAGCTGTGTCTACAGTCCGCTCTTCTGTATTGTGTCTCCAGTTTCTGGGTATTAGCCTTGGGTTTGTGAGGAAGCTGGGCATAAGTAGGTATTTTGTAAGACACCTAAAAGTATTTGGGATGCTAAATGGCGTTAAATGCCCGCTATTGAGTCCTCGAGATTTTAATAGGTAATGATCCAATGACTCAAGAGACTATTCACTAGACTTAAATTTGAGTTTCCTCTAACTGATTTCGCAGCTCGCCACTATGTGCCAGATCACGGTATACTCTGAAGATATTTTTGTCCAAACCAGCACAGTGACATAGATCATAGCATCCTGAAACTTCTGGATCTATTTCAACCCCGGACTTAAAGCACAATTACTTCTAGAACAAACAATTGAATAATATCTTCGAACATCTTTCATAAGGAAGAAAGTTGATGCGTACGGATGATTTCCATTCACGTGGTCAACAACAAACAGAAGTATTGCAATTCGGTTCACAGCGAACTGTCCTTAAGAAAGCCTCCTTATCAATTTCGGAATTGAAGGCCTACCATGCTATGTTGAAATCCTTGCGTGTTACTGGCAGTAGTATGGTGCTTCTGTAGTTCTCACAGTCATTACGATTTCCACTTTTCGATACCTTGGTTGGCCATCCTTATTTCTGGTCGTCGCTGACACATGTATGTCAGTGGTGATCCAATGATAATTTAGAGTTTAGGGAAATTATTTTTTAGTTCAATTAACACACGTTGAGTATGTGGCGGTAAGTCCCAAAAATAAATAGTCCCGCAAATTTTTTAACACTGATGATGGCCTCATTAGTTGCACTGGACACATTTAGCTGAAGGCGCTGAGTCACTCATCCGCACCATATCACGAGCGAGTATGCAATACCATGGAACTTTTGCAACTGTTAGCCAGCTTAGATTAAAAGCTACCAGATATATAGACAACCTTCCAAGTACATCTTCGAACTTCATATCTGACTTTGATTTGACTGGGTTGGAATAGTTTGATCACAAAGGTGTTACGTGTAAAAGCGTCATCCAAATCCAAATACATGTGGCAGCTTTAGTGATAATACAGACGTGATCTGGTAAACCAAACCGTAAACTGTGAATCTGTTCCTTGGTAAAGCATTATGTATCATTTCTTTAAATTTTATTTTTAACTATGAAGGTAATATTTTCGGATTTCGGACAATTTTTCATCGTTATGCAACAGACACTAGAGTTACTTATGAATAAACGCCTTTCACCTCACACCATTCAGCTAATGCCGTTTTGACCCGATAATATAGAAGCCTCTTTCTGCTACGCAAAATCTGACTTATACGATCACAGTGTGACTGAATCATGTGCACAATTTTTCACAGTAATAAAAGCGAGACCACGTGATTTTCAACAGGTACGTCACACCTAGTGTGCTTACTAGTGATGTTTTGGAACCTTACTAAAAGTTTGAAAAGGGATATCCTTCAATGTGGAGACTTGTAGAATTATGGTCTACTTCATTATTAGTACTACTCTCATGATAGACGTAATCCTAAAATCGCAGATTTGTCATGATGTTGCTGCCCAATCTATAAGATCTTATGTCGAAGTTACATCACTCTCTACATCGACTCATCGTATCCTAACAATCACCAATATATGGCGGAGAACACATTTAGACTGGATACAGAACAATTTATTTAATATGAATAAGAACACGTCTTACGTAATGACCACGCCTGCAAGGCTGAGCCGTGCCATCCGAACGAATGTTCCCGTGTTCATCATTATTGACCTTCTCTTAATATTACATGTTGAAAGTCTATGTTCCCGGTTACCTTATGTTCAGTCTTGATGACTGTGTGGTTAGGGCCTAATGCCACTACACTACTCTCTCACCAGAATCAACGTGAAGTTGGTTCGATACCTAATTGGGTAGGATTGTCGCACGCGGAGGTTACCAGGAATAATAAGAACCTACCGGGTATTGATAAGCTGAAAGATATATCAGAAAACAGGTGACAGGAGCTGGTCTGGAGATACACGTCACAATCTTAAAATGTTAAGTTTAATTCGGGTTAAAATTATTTGAGCCAGACAAAATGGGATTATAATCATTAAGAATGATTCCGCGTAGATATATTTTAATAAGTCGCCGTAAGATGTGTAGTAATAGCCTTTGGTCAATAACTTATAAGTAGTTCAAGCATTTTGTGTTTCGAAATATAAAGACAATTGTCGACGTTGTTATTATTCTTGGTTTAAATTATAAAGTCAGTTAACGATCATTCTGGCAAGCCGTCCGCACGAGTTGAATTCCAATTGAATCTGCATTAGTAGACTAACTGAAAGAACAAAAGTACAACCGTAGAAAAGAATAAATCCAACCATTGTTGCAGATAGTTTGTCAAACTTGATACAGATTACTTAGTCACGAGATTTCATTGACCTCATTATTACCTAACCGTGATAAAATTTAGTAGTACTACTAATACATATGAATGGTTGCCGAAAATTCTTTTACGTGAAAATAGTGATAATTGCGTGCATTGTGAGCAGATAGTTAAGAGCAATTCGATAATCATAGGTGTATTCGCGAGAGACGTGCTCTGGACTAAATTCCGTTTATATTCATGTCCACCGGCCGATGGTGCATACAAGTCAGTTGCAAGTATGGAGTTTCAAACTATTACAAATATAGTGATTAGAAAATGTTGAGATCAGCCAAACTTATGTGCCGAAAATATAGGTACTGTGGTGTTTTACGAAAACGATACAACGAAGAAACTAATACGGAATTATAGTAAACCAGAGGGACCGGTCAAAGACAAAAAAGGCCGGTCAATCACTGAAACTCGACAACAGCGGAACAGATGGGTAGAGTACTTCGAAGAACTCCTGAATAGGCGGGCTCCTATGAATCCAACACACACAGATTTTCCTATAGATACGGAACGAGTGACCCCGTCCTGCACCATCTTTAAAGACTCAAATATTCCAAAGGTATATAAGATTGCGATTTCTAGAAGCCCTCAACTGCACATGAATCTAGTATCGACCGTCAGTTGCACGTCGCAACGCAACTCTCATGAAGCGCGCTAACTGTGATACTGACTAAAACCATTCTACATTCATATCTTATAAATTAAAGACCCAGCTGATTAATTTACTACAGTTGTAAATTGTATCATTTGTAACAATTTGATCTTGCCTGTAAACTGGCATGACTCATGTAACAAAATGTTATTTGAGAATAAATTATTATTATTATTATGTACGACGAGATAAATCGGAATAGCCATCAAACAAATCAAGAGCGGGAAAGCAGCAGGACCCGACAATGTACCAGCTGATGCGTTGAAGTCAGACACCGAAGTAACTACAAACATGCCTAATCTTCTATTCAAGAAGATTTATGAGGAGGAACAAGTGCCGATGGACTGGAAAGAATGACACCTAATCAAAATTCCAAAAAAGGACACCTGAGCGAGTGTGAAAACTACATAGGCACTACACTACTGTCAGTACCAGGGAAAGTCTTTAACAGAGTGTTGCTGAACAGTAGACGCAGTAGACGCTCAACTTCGAGATCAACAAGCTGGATTCCGTAAGGATCGGTCATGCACAGACCGAATTGCGATACTACGGATCATCGTCGAACAGTCCGTTTAGTGGAAATCGTCACTGTACATCAACTTCATTGATTATGAAAAGGTATTTGACAGTGTAGATAGCAGAACGTTACGGAAACTTCTTCGGCACTATGGAGTTCCTGAGATGATTGCCAATATTATCCGGAACTCATACGATGGACTACAGTGCAAAGTAGTGCATCTCAATAAAATCTGAGAACCATATATTAAATCATTAATTTGCAAAATATCAATCCATCATATCAAACTTGACTGTTCCTGTTGCAAACATCAACCCATTGTCTCAGATTTCATTGTTTGTGCGTTTTCATACCAATTGCATTTCGTTTCCGTTCTTTCTCATCGACCTTCTACTGAAATACATTCTATATCTGATCACCGTCATATACTACTTGTGTGGATATAAGTAAATCACACCACGATACGACGGACTACAGTGCAAATTAGTGAATGGAGGACAGCTGACAGATGCATTCCAAGTAAGGACCGGAGTCAGACTCTCAACATTCCTCTTTCTTCTGTTGGTCGACCGGATTATGAAGACCTCGATATATGAGGGAAAACACGGCATACAATGAACAGCTCAGAGCCGATTAGACGATTCGGACCTCGCAGATGACCCAGCCCCCCTTTCGCATGCACACTAACAAATGCAAATAAGGACAGCCAGCGTAGCAGCAGTTTACGCATCAGTAGGCCTTAATATACACAAAGGAAAAACCCAAGATCCCCAAATACAACACGGAGGACACTAATTAAATCACACTTAATAGCGAAATTCTGGAATCCTTCACACACCTGGGAAGCACCATCGATAAACAAGGAGGTTCAGATGCAGACATAAACGCGAAGATTGGCAAAGCAAGAGCCGCATTTCTTCAACTGAAAAGCATATGGAACTCAAAACAACTCTCAACCAATATCAAAGTCACAATCTCCAACACGAACGTCAGGACAGTCCTAATGTACGGAGCAGAAACGTGGAGAACTACAACAACCACCATCAAGATGGTACAAGTAATAATAAATAGCTATCTACGCAAGATAATCAACATCC